GTCAGGCTCTGAGTCGCGCAAGATATGATAGCCACGCACCTGTAGGCCCGGAAGCATCATTCGAGCTCAAACCGCCAAAGTTACCAAGTCCACCTGGAAGATGACTCATACCGCGCTGTCGCACTGCAGCGGCAAACGTCACGAAAGTGGGTAACTGGTCGTGATGTAAGTACATGCTCATTTGACATCATTTCACACGTACTTTGAGAAGCAAAAGCAGAATCTGCGCGAGCTTTAAGACGAAGCCTTGCTCAATCTTGAAGATGAAGCCCAGATCGTATAGGGCCGAGACACCTAGAAGAGCGGAAAACTGAAGGAGTCATTCTCTGAGGGTCCGCCTCTGAGGTTATGTGCGTACAGCTTGTATACTCTGAGCGGCATCCGCATTCTCTTGCGTGTAGACACCGAACAAGAACAGCGGCAAATTGTACACGGGTACAGTGAATGGACTAATGGCAAATGCCAGAAACTATCCAGTCCTTTAAGAGTGCCAAATGTCCACAGTACATCAGCGCGCACCGTTCCGGCAAGTACGAGTTTGGCGGGATCAAGAGACTGGATGAAATCGGCCATAGTGGCGGTTGCGGGGCAGGGAACGACTTCTATTTGCGGATCGTGCCTGCGCGCTTCGACGCGACTTGACCGGCTTGACCGGTGACCGCGAACCCCAATCGTGCCTCTTGGACCGCGCGGATACCTACTGTAGATTCAGTAAACTCGGACTATCCCGAGCGTATCGTCTACGGCCTCAACTGGGATGGGCCCTTACGATACTGTGCTCCCTGCGGACGCCGTCGAGTTTTGTCCACATCCTGCCGCCACCGATATCTTCGCCGTCGGCACTTATAAGCTCGATGATCCTCCCGCCAAGAGTGACAGTTCTACGGGCGTCGGCACGCCGTCAATCCTTACGCCGGCCTCAGAAGAGCCACCTGCTATCTCGTCGGGAACGACGCAAACACGGCATGGGAAGTGCCTCTTCTTCCGTGTGAATGGAGAAGCGGATGGGGCTTTGTGAGCTCTCTTGCCTTGCACTTCGCTGTAGACATCCAGGCCAAACATGGTTCAGTGAACCTTTGTCCGATTTTTCTTTACCTGCTGTCCTGGACATGAAATGGTATAAGTGAGGACGTTATCAACCGGATCACCTATCTCAACTGTTAACAGGCTACATACGACGGAAGATCGTCAGCCCGTACTGGCAATCGCCGACTCCGAATGCAACATTACTCTCGCCGAGTGGAACATCGAAGTTGTCAGTGCAATAGCTCATTCACTTCTAGTCGATGTCTGAACTAGCCGGTCAGAGCCAAGTAGAAGCGCGGACATCTGTCGTTTGCGGGTCCTCAAACGTGCTTTGTCTATCTATCGACTGGAATAACAGAAGAGATCCGACCAGGTGAAGAACTTGTTGATAGTTCCTCTTGGCTTTCTCAACGCCTCTTCAGTTCAATGGCCTCGCTGATTGTCTCACTGTCTAACGGAAAGCTTGCCTTACTACGACCGGACCCGGTAAATGGTCTGTCCGTGGAGGAGGCATGGCACGCACACGACTATGAACCATGGGCGGCGGCATGGGAGTGTTGGGATCACAATCTTGTCTACTCTGGCAAGTGATTTTGTTTTGTAGTGCGTATATGTCTTACATACCTCACATAGGAGGTGACGACCTCAAACTCAAGCTTTGGGACATTCGAGCAGGTTGTGATCAGCCAGTGCAAATCAATAGACGGTATGTGCATGAGTATGTACCACATCCCCATCGAAATCTATTGACTTCACATTGAGGTTCGATGCCGGTATTACGTCAATACAGAGCCATCCACACATCGAGCATGTCATTGCCGTAGGAAGGTGAGCAGCTATCACGATCGTGCAGCCACATGTCACTGAACCGCTACCAGCTACGATAACACCGTTCGTTTGTATGACAGACGCAAGCTGACCACTCCTATGACCCAAGCTGAAGTCGGTGGTGGCGCGTGGCGCGTGAAATGGAACCCGTCGCCTAAACGGACTCATGATCTACTAGTCGCCGCGATGCACGACGGATTCAAGGTCGTTAAGTTCCATGATATGTGGACGAAAGAGGACACGCCGCCCGTCTTCTCCGAGAAATGGGATGTTATCGAGCGGTTTGATAAGCACGAGAGCCTGGCCTATGGTGTTGATTGGTCCTATGCAACTGGCGTGGATGAGCGCGGCCAGGGACTCATCGCGAGCGCGTCCTTCTATGACTGCGTTCTGCACACCTGGCGAGGCTGAAGCTTACCACATAACATAGTCGTCTCCCATCTAGTCACTCCAGCAATGTGACTAGGACTTGAATATATAAGATATGTATTGTATGCTTGTAGTACTCCATGGCACGAGGTATAATGTAGTTGCAAAGAGACAGAATAACTTACATCTGTGAATTTGATTCGCGGGTCATGCTCGCGTGCTCTTTTGGCTTTTGGCTGCTCCCAAAGCGCCCCTTCATGACGAAGGCGAGCGTTCCCTTGGCAAGACCACGAAGGCTAGCGGGATGGTACTGTGCCGCTGTCAAAAGGTATGCGAGCGACAGGGTGTATGCGAGTCTAGGCGCGTGTGAGTTGGGTCCGGGCCTCGCAAGCCTTGCTTTCTTACCTTTCGGCTGCCTGTACTCCGCGGCCTCCACTCGTTAACCATCGGTGTGGCAGGCACGAGCGAATGGCACGCGGAAGCACGTACAGGCCGATCTCGCCTCGTCGGCGACCGTCCTCGATCCAGATAGAGCTACCGCTGATGAGGCAACCGGCGAGGATGCAACCGTACGGACCATCCCAGAAGTCATGAGATACAGATGGCAGCAGACGCGCCAGAAGAACGCTCCGTGTCAAACAAACGCCCGCCCAGAAGGATGACACGAAGCCGGCCAGGAATGTCGCGCTCCGCGCGGTACCGAAGACGATCGGAAGTACTTTCGAAAGCTTGAGTAGTGCTCGCGGATTCGATATCAACGCGGGTAGGGCGTGAACCTGTAATAAGAATGAGAAAGCTACCAACGCGAACAGTAAAGACCTCACCGGTAAATAGAGAGCTACGGCTTCTAGGAAGGCATGGAGAGCACGAAGAGTAACGTTCTGCGTGCAACTGTGACCGGTCACAGTCCCGTGTACCACAGCACAGGGAATTCCACCAGTATGCCGTGTAGTGAGGCCAAGTTTCTGCCACTGGGCCACGGCGGAGGTGCCGCCATATGCCGGCACACGAGCCGGATTGCCCCACTCCCTTGGGTAGCCCAGATCACCGGCGAGATCCTCCAATGCACTTGAGGTGGGCGCTATACCATTTACATACGAAAACCTCCCACTGCGTACGTCCTGAAGAGTGGTCACCAATCGACGATCGATGTTCGCCAGGGACGATATCCTGTAAGCGTCTTAGCGCAAAGCACGGTGAAATCGAGCGACGGTCGCACCATTGAACGTAGGATCTAGGTAAACTGCCACATGTTAGGTCTTCAGAGACAGCCAATGATAGAGATGTCAAGCACTTACGTAGAGGGCCGATAGAAGAAGCACCACATAATGCTAGAGATAAAGTCAGTCAAGACGTTACGACAGGTACAGATGGGAAGCTCACCGCGCGCTGCTAGTCCAGAAGACCAGCGCGTCAATCTTGGTCGTGAGCTTGCGGCGCTTGTCTCTCGCCTCGTCGCTCTCATTTTCCTGCCTTCCAAAAAGACCTCTCTGAACGAGGGCGTCTATGGCGCGCACGAGGAGGAGTAAAGTCAAGTCGAGCGTGGGCGACACTCTCCTCCCGGACGCAACGGGCGGGGTGAGCGGGAGGAGTTCGCCGGGTGGATGCGTCCTTGATGGCCGTCGGGACTGAAGCAATAAAATGGAGAAGGTTGCCGCGAGGGCATTGCAGCAGAACGCGCGATCCTCCTCCGGGGCTCGGGCCAGACGCGCTTTAAACGCCCCCAGCCGCGCGCCGATGGCCGTTCCATATATGCGCTCCAGGTCACCCTCCTCCGAGTCGAGCAGAGAGAGCACGTGTCGTAGGACGGCGCCACCACCGACGGCGACAGTAATGGCAAAGGGGAAGCCGCTGATAGCAAGCTCGCGGCTGAGGATGCGGTACACAGAGGCAAATACGCCCTTGGCCCGCGCTTTCTTGGAACTAAGCAGGGAGAGAGCGGCTGGACCGAGGGCCAGGCCGAGGGCCAGCGAGTATGTTCGGAAGATGACAGGTACCGGATGCTCATTCGGTAGCGACGCGAGGACTTTCAGGTTAGGGACGGGCATGGTAGCGTCTCAGTCGCGAGCGCGGGGTTCATCAGGGTTCAAACGTTCATCAACGCGTCTGATGTTATGTACATGTGATTCTTAGATTCGGTCGCTGTGGGCGCGAAATTGTCGCACGGTACGGAGCGTAGCCCGCGACGTCGATCTGCAAGAAGTTATTGTACTAAGTAGATAGGTATACGCTAGGGCGTGCTAATTCAAAGAAGCAGAAGAAGACGATACGGCAGGCACATCCTCGGGGAGCAGAGCGATGTCCTTGTCATAACTGATGTAGTCAACTAATCCAAGACCGACCTGCGCAACGTCAAGGTGCTTCAGATTATTCACAATCATTCGCATCCATACTGCGCGGCTGTCGGGAAAGACGAACAGGCTTAAGAGCTCCTGATACTGGAAAGACGTAATCAACAAGAGACACAGACTGAAGATGTAACTACTCACGTGCTTCTGGACCACTGGTTCAATATACTCTAGCGGAGCACGACAGTAACCTGACTCGTCCTCGCCTTGACCTTCCGGCGTCAGGAGATGTCCGTCTGAACCTGAACGTTGACGTGCGGGAGCTGCCTCACCCAGCCAGGCTCCCCAGACTTCAAGTCGCAGACCATCTCGGTTAAGGGAGCGCATGAGCGAATGGCAACGAAGCCAGTCATTGGCATTGCCTTCCCACACGCTATTGGGGTCTATATCCTGGAATGTAAAGGCGCTGGAAGGCGATGGTGGAATGGACGTCCCGGGCGAATGGATGGGGGAATATACGTCTTTCCGCCGCATAAGCCGGATCCAGCGTCTTCGACGAACAAACCCGCCCTCGGGCCTCCACTGATGACGGCGGAAGACCCAGTTATACTCAAATCCCTCAAACGAGACAGAGCCGTCCTCAGAGTTGCGCATGTCGATCATCCATCTCGAGGAGCACCAGGTCCAGGAACCGTCAGGAAGGAGGTAGTCGCTGAGGGAGACGTCAGGTTGGTGGTTTTTGCTGCCCTCAGCTTCGGGAGTCGTGAACGCAGGGGGATCAGAAGGCAGCAACGCTACTTTGGAGTACATGGGGATGGAAAACAATGTCATTCTATATGGGGGGCTCGTCAGAACACGTTGCTTTGAAACAGCAGGATAGACGTACCCCCGTTGATTCTCATACACAACAGCCCACCGGAAGTTATCACCATCTTCCACAATGGGTAGATCGTGCAGTGCAGACGCGTCTGTCAGATGGATTTGAGGCGCGGTAGAGGCCGAGGCTTCACGCGTGGGTTTGAATGGTCTCGAAAGGAAAGAGGGTGAAGATGGTGTGGCGGCTTTGGGTGATGTTGAGGATGCATCAGAGTGCTTGCGGGATCTTCTCCACGGTATCAAATGTCTATTCGGCGTCAGCTTCTGGATGGCAGCGGTGTGCGCTTCCGGGTCGGTGTCAAGTGTAGGAAATGACGGAGGAGACACGTCTGAGCTCATGGAGGAGATGAACGAAGATACGTGCCGGCCGCGTCTCACCTGCCGCGCCTTGCTTCCGCCCATCATGTTCTCGGTTTCGGTACGGCTTGCGCATTCACGATCTGCGGCGTTGCGGGCCGCACGGCACACAACGATGCTGCCTACACGGAGTGCGCGCTCATACGCTACTCGACCCATCGTCCTTCCGACGACTTGCCCCTCTTGCGGAACACCATTACCCACGCGTCTGCCTGCATGCCCCAAATGCCGATACATACAGCGCATACCGGATGACTATGATTATTACGACCTTCTTCGCACCGAGAAGTCTGCGAACCCCTTTCAGTTAGACAGAGGCAAGTTGAGACGCAACTTCTTAGAACTACAGCGTTACATCCACCCTGATGTCTGGTCACCATACGGCGATGTATGCACTCTTCTTGTCAAGCCTTTCGTGAAGACATCGACTCAATTGTCAAACAGGACAAAGTCGACGTGGCGCGCGACTTATCCGGCGTAGTCAACAAGGCATACAACACATTACTCGTACCACTCTCGCGTGCCCAGTATATTCTGCGTGACCACGGCCTTGATGTCTCTGAGACGGATCAAGTCGAAGACCCACAGCTGCTCATGGAAATACTTGAATCAAGAGAAGCATTGGAAGAGGCGCAGGCTCAAACCGACGTCGACGCAATTCGCGTGGAGAATGCAGGTCAGTGAAATCTGAACGGATCCCGATGTTCTTTTTCTTATGGCATACCGTTCTCAGAGCGCATAAGCGCAGTGGTGAACGAGATTGACGAGCATATCGGTGCTCGGGATTGGAATGCGGCCCACAGAGCGGCGGTGAAATTAAAGTATCTGGAAGGCATCGAGCAGGCAGCCAAGTCATGGCCATCAGCGCCCTTCGACCACTGACTGCCATTTAAGACCACAACTGTAACCTGCTTAAACATACCATAGTATTAGTGAACCGCATCTTCACAAGTGATTTCTAGCTCGTATGATATGCATGGAAAAGTATGAGTCCAAGATCGAAGCCACACGTCGGCTCGGCAGATGCCGCGCTTAGAGGCGCGTTTCACGCGTCACAAATGCCTTGACTTGTAACCGTCACCGACTATAACGGCCAGAGGATATTGGCGTAGCACAGGTGCAAGAGCGAGCAGAGTGAGTTGTTTGCGTATGCACGAGTGTGTCGCGCATAAACGGTCGAATACGCGCAGGATCATTCTCTGCCTCTATGAGCCTGGCTTTACGGCTTAAACTCGGCCAACGCCTCCTCATGCGACTGGATCGGACACGGTCCTCGACACCTCCACCTCTCAAGCGACCTTTGTCCACCGCCGCCGAGGCACGTGTGACCTCCCCTGAGCCCTCGAACCGAATCGAACCCTCCGCGAAGCGCCCAAGAAGAGCTTCTCGACAGACATCCCCCATGCGCTCATTCGGCCCATCCTCCTCCTCAAAACCTCGCGCCGGCAGGCGTGGCGGCGGCCCCAATCGCGGAGGCGGCCGCCAATCCTCCTCGCAAAAGCCTCACCCACCTCGAGCCCACGACGGTCGTCGGTCCTTGCCGGCCGATGACGATCCCATTCACGACGAGACATGGATGAAATCCAATTACCCCGGCGTCTACCTCAAGGACGTCTGGGCCACAAATCCCAAGTCCACTGTCATCAACTGGGCACAGAACCAGGGCAAGGAGCGACCCGAGTTCACGCACGAGACTGTGCTGCTGCACGGTCATACCGGCACCAGGTGCGCTCGCATGCATGTCATAGAGATATGCGCCTTGATAACCCAAATCATAGATGTACACTCGATCTCAAGGCTGAGCCATCTATCATCGGTGTAGGAGACGCAGCGAAACGAGGAGACGCAGAGAAGCTGGCCGCGCTCGACGCCGTTTATCAGCTGGCCAAGATCCGTGCAGTACGTAGACGCCGTACCCGCGCTCTCTCAACATACTCACGCATCAGTATAGTTCGACCGACCCAAGGTGTCTAGAGCTGCACCCGGAGCAGAAACCGTCAAGCTCTCGAATGGCGAGGTCATCAACTACGATAGGGCGAGACAATTCATGGACTATTACTGTCGGCGCTACAACTTTGGGAAGCCCGATATCAACTACAGCGAGGTCAAGAGCGCTCGCAAGGCGCCTTCCACCTGGGAAGCCGTCATGATGGTGGGCGGCCGTCGTATCGGCATTGGCACGGGCAAGAATAAGAAGGCGGCGCAGACTCAATGCTACATTGATGTCACGCAATATCTGGAGAGCTGTGATGCCGACCTTTGGAAATCTTTCGTCGAAGCGTCCGCTGCGGGCAAGGAGCTGGGGCTGGCTCCGCGTGTACACATGGATATCGACGATCGCTTGGAGGACGAAATTCGCGATATCGGATACGATGTTCGTAAGAGTACCCTGTACGAGAATCGCCCAAAGAACAAGTCCCCGGCTGCCGCCGCTGCCGCTGCCGCCGAGGCGAACACCCCACGCTACAAGGCACCCACTCCTGCGAAATTCCTCGCCGACAAATCGCAGCGCCTCGCCGACAAGCACAAGGCGTATCTTACGGATCCGAAGATGGAGAAGATGCGTGAGGCCCGAACGTCGCTTCCCGTGTACACCCGTTCAGAGGCGCTTCTCAACCACATACGTTCCAACGAAGTCACCATCTGCATGGCAGCGACGGGTTCGGGGAAAACTACACAGATCCCCCAGCTCATCCTCGACGAGTACATCGATCGTGGAGAAGGCGCGAAGTGTAATATCATCTGCACACAACCTCGTCGAATCGCGGCTATCAGCGTCGCTCAGCGTGTCGCCGCAGAACGCGGAGAGACCGTCGGAAAAGGCTCAATTGGCTACCAGGTTCGCTTCGAGGCCCAGCTCCCTGAAGAACATGGCTCCGTCACGTTCTGCACGACGGGTATCTTCCTCCGTCGAATGCAGTCCGCTTTACAGGAAGCGGGCTCGTCACGCGGCCTGAACATGGATGATGTGACGCACATCGTGGTCGACGAAGTGCACGAGCGTGACGTCGACACGGATCTTCTGCTGGTGGTATTGAAGCGCCTGCTTGCGGACCGTAAGGCGAAGGGGAAGCCGCTGAAGGTCATTCTCATGAGCGCCACCGTCAATGCGACACTCTTTCAGCAGTATTTTCCTGACTCCGCAGGGAAGCCGGCTGGCCTCATCGAGATTCCTGGTCGCTCGTTCCCAGTCGACAAACACTTCATGGACGACTTCGTGCCCGAACTCGCTCGCGACTCTGCGCATTCAGCTGTCTTTCGTGATCCAGCCGTTGCTAAGTACATCCAGCAAGAACTTCCGAAGCAGGCAGCCCACATCTTGCGAAACGGTCCGGCTATCCAGATCAATGATGATGATCAGCTCGCAGATATCGACATCGACCTCCCGTTTCCGCTCATCGCCCTCACCGTAGCGCACGTCATGAAGAAGACGGAGGATGGTCACGTCCTTGTCTTCTTGCCAGGTTGGGACGAAATCCAGAACGTCAATCGCGCCTTGTCGAATACGGCTTTCACGCAAGGCCTCAATTTCCTGAACTCGAAAGAGTACTCCATACATCTCCTCCACTCTTCCATTCCTGTAGCCGAGCAACAGATCATCTTCGACCCTCCACCGGCCGGCGTTCGCCGCATTATCCTGTCTACGAATATCGCCGAGACGTCCGTCACGATTCCTGACGTTGTCTATGTCGTCGATACCGGCAAAATCAAGGAGTTGCGCTACGATCCTCAGCGCCATATGTCATCGCTCATCTCTGCATGGGTTGGCTCCTCCAACTTGAACCAACGTGCAGGCCGTGCTGGACGTCATCGCCCCGGCGAGTACTTTGGTATGCTCAGCCGTCGCCGTCACGATACGCTCTCTCCGCACCAACTCGTGGAGATGCAACGCACCGACCTTACCAACGTCGTTATGCACGTCAAGGCCCTTGACTTCCCTGGCATGGCTGTCGAAGACGTTCTAGCTGCGACAATCGAGCCTCCCAGGGCCGAGCGCATAGCAGCGGCAATGGAAGACCTTCGGGTCGTCGGCGCTCTCGATGAGAATCAGAACCTCACCTCGCTCGGACGCGTACTGCTTCAACTGCCCATCGAGGTTGGCATTGGTCGCATGGTTCTTTTTGGTAGCTTCTTTCGCTGTTTGGACCAGGCCGTTTCCCTTGCAGCCATCATGACGAACCGCGACCCATTCGTGACCCCGGTGCTTGTAAAGGCGCAAGCTCAGGCGGTCAAAGATGGCTGGACACCCATGGAGTATCGCTCTGATCTTTTGGCAACTCTTCAGGCATTCAATACTTGGTCGGACTTGCACAGTCGCGGCCGCTTCCATGAAGCTCATCGGTTCGCTTCGGACAATTTCCTGTCCAAACCCACGCTGCTGCAAATGTACACGGTTAAACGCCACCTACTACATTCGCTCTACCAGTCAGGTGTTTTGGACATCTCCGCTGCTGGTCGCGCCGACGTCTACGCACGAGGCAAAGAGGTCATCGTCCCAGCCGAGCTCAACACCAACGGCGACTCGCTCCCACTTCTGGTTGCACTCATTGCGTCAGCTTCGCAACCAAAGTTTGCCATTAGGACGAGCCCCCAGTCATACCGTACACAACGTGACAAGGTTGGTCAGTTGTCATCTTCGTACTTCTCGCATACTGATAGGTATCTCAGAACGTCATGATCCATCCCTCTAGTGTGAATCACCGTAAACGCGATGGAACCCCGCAGGGCTCTACGGACGGCGCATACATCTCGAAGCAGATCATCGCGTACCAAGAAAAACGGCAGAATACTTCGGCGGTCGGAGTAACTGCCGCCAACGCGCCGATGTATCTCATGACTACGACTCGCCTCGATCCGATGACATACGTCCTCTTCGGGGCGTACGATATCAAAGTTACCGATCGTGGCCTGGAGTGTGATGACTGGTTACCCATTAGCGGCAACCTCTTTGCGCTGGACGACCTCGCTCGTCTCAAAATCATGATTGAGCAGTGCATGCTGCGGGTCTTTGAAGGCCTGCTTCTCCGCCGCCAGAAGAACAGACCACGACGATTTGCGCCCGTAGAGCCACGGGATGAGGAAGAGTCCGGCGACGAAGAAGATCCGTCGAACGTCGCGCCAACGCCGCTCTCGGCGAAGGAGGTGCAGGAGCTTGACTATCTGACGAAGGACATTGTCAGCATCCTCAATCGCTTCGGCGAAGATTTCTTGGCCTCGCAAAGCCGCGCTAACTCGCGCCCTGGTACGCCACAGGGCTCGCCCTCGCTCGGGTCCATCCGCTTGCCTCGCTCAGGTGCTTCTACCCCATGGGGACCAGGTACAATGTCTGCATACAATTCTCGGCCCGGTACTCCTAGTGGCCTCTCGCGGGCATACAACAGATCTTCATAGAATACTCTTGCTCCTATTCATGTGTTTACCTACATCCTTCCCCTGTTTTCTCTGCTCGCATTCCAGCGCATCCCAGAAATTCGTTTACGCCTATCCATACTTGTAACTTTACTCTAGTACCTGATAGTGGATCTCCCTCATGTCAAACAATTGAGCCAGCTCGTCGTGTTCTGATGATCCGCCCACGGCGGTAAAGGTCGGACCGGGTTGAGAGCGTGTAGTCTGTAGAGATGTATGTGCTAGTATATGTGCTCGGCCCGAGACGCCGGTCCCGCCTGAGTCTCAGCGCGTCTCCTTGCAACGACACTCGCAACTTGCCGTCGACGTGCTTGATCAGTGTCGCACACACTCAGTAACCCAGGCCATCCACGGTCGACAACCCAATAAATCTCCAGTCTGGCGCTCTCTATAATCTTGTTTCATCATGGCTACGAATATGCGAGGGTTGACGCAAGTTCGTTCGTGTACTCGCGACTTGTGGCCGCATTCCGTTACATATGGTTCTGACTACGTTGCTCAGTTTATTGCGGACATCCGTGGGGCGAGAGTCAGGGATCTAGAGGAGAAGAGGATTAATAAGGAAATGGCCAATATTCGGAAGAAGTTCAAAGGCACGTATGCCACTGCACTTCATCAGGCTTCGTCTTCGGGGCTCAACGAGAATCCCATGCAGACGGCAATCTCGATGGCTACCAGAAGAAGAAGTCCTTCAACTCCCTCCCTCTCAACTGTCTTACATAACTCATCATCGTACGCCATAGATATGTGGCGAAAGTCCTCTATACCTATATACTAGGTTACAAGGTCGATGTCGGGCATATGGAGGCCGTGAACTTGATATCCAGCCACAAGTACAGTGAAAAGCAAATTGTCAGTTCACAATACTTGCCGTCATCCATTACACCAATAACGTTATCGTCAGGGATATCTGGCCGTCACACTGCTCATGCATGAGAATTCCGACTTCCTGCGCCTTGTCGTGAACTCTATCCGTAAGGACTTGGACGACAATAATGAGATTAGCAACTGTCTCGCGTTGCACGCGATAGCAAATGTCGGTGGTCAAGAGATGGCAGAGGCGCTGTGCGAGGACGTGCATCGATTATTGATATCACCGTGAGTATCCTATCCGCTTTCTACGAGCTCAATCTCAAATCCCTCAGAACCTCTCAGAGTATGGTCAAGAAGAAGGCGGCCTTGACTCTTTTGCGTTTATACCGTAAACACCCTGAGGTGATTCCTGCGGCGGAATGGGCTCTTCGAATCGTGGCGATCATGGACGACCCGGATCTGGTACGTTCCTCAGACAATCAGTCAAGCGACAATTGATCCTGATAGCATGCAGGGAGTTGTACTCTGTGTGACTACACTCGTTCTTGCATTAGCACAAGACCATCTAGAGCCCTTCGCTGTATGCTATCAGAAGGCTGTGGATCGGTTGCACAGGGTGAGTGCCTATGCGGTGGTTGTCATCATCCACTCTGACGTTCTTGCAAGCTTGTCGTGGAACACGAATTCCCAGCAACATATGCGTACTACAAGGTCCCTTCTCCATGGCTACAGGTCAAGTTACTCCGTCTGCTGCAATATTATCCACCTTCGGGCGAGTTCGTTTTTGCATTCATAGTCTCTGAAGTCTAATATCAGCATAGACGATAACGCCATACGAACCACTCTTCATCAGACTCTCGAGACCATCATGAACAATAGCGCCGAGCAGTCTCGCAACATGCAACACAACAATGCCCAGCGCGCTGTGCTCTTCGAGGCCATCGGTCTCGCCATCCATTTGGACACCAACTCGCCTCTTGTTGGCACCGCTGCCGTTCTCCTAGCGCGATTCATCTCTTCCAAAGAGACTAACGTTCGGTACCTCGGTCTCGATACCCTTGCGCATCTAGCCGCACGAGCGGACTCTCTGGATGCAATCAAGCGCCACCAGGATACTGTTATCCTTTCCCTACGGGATCGGGATATATCCGTACGAAGGCGAGCTCTCGACCTACTGTACAGCATGTGCGACGTGGACAATTCGGAAGTTATTGTCGGAGAGCTCTTGCGCTATCTGAAAGTTGCCGACTACTCACTGCGCGAGGAGATGGTTCTCAAGATTGCAATCTTGACAGAGAAATACGCCAACTCCTACCGGTGGTATGTCGACACCATATTGGAACTCATCAGCGCGGCTGGAGATCATGTTGGCGATGAGGTTTGGTACCGCGTAGTCCAGATTGTCACGAACACGGAAGACCTACAGGCTTATGCCGCCCGTGTCGTCTTTGCTCGGTTGAGGCTACCCGTTGCTCACGAGAGCTTGGTCAAAATAGGAGGTAAAGTCATACCAGAGATGTGGCCTTGCGCAAACATTGATTGTTTCTAGGATATATACTGGGAGAGTACGGACACCTTATCGCCAACGATGAGGGATATAGCCCCATTGAACAGTTGCACGCTCTCCATTCGAAATCTCAGTTCTGCGCCGCCCCGACTCGCGCTCTCCTCCTATCCACATATATCAAATGGGTCAACGTCTTTCCTGAGATCAAACCTCAACTCATCAATATCTTCGAGCGTTATCGTCACGTCCTCGACTCAGAGCTCCAGCAGCGTGCATGCGAGTACTATGCTTTAGCTTCCCGGCCAGACGAAGATGAGCTCCTCCAGAACGTCTGCGAGGAGATTCCTCCCTTCCCTGCTCGCGAAAGCGCACTCGTCTCGCGCCTGAACAAAAAGAACGACGCTGGTGGGGATAAGCGGACGTGGGTTCATGGCGGAAAAGAGGCGAACCAGGATCGGGAAGTGAGCAAGGTGCAACACACGGGGGGGTCTGCAAGTGCGAATGGGCACGTTGGTGTTCCCGAGACCTCTGTTGGAGACGCGGACATCTTGTCTTCTCTGCAAGGCCTTGACCTATCAGCCTCCACCGGTGTCCCTGGCTCATCGAATGGCGTAGCGACCATGGCCAAGCCCGCGATAGTATCAAACCTTGCTGTCGGCGTGAACGTTGATCGCTGGTTTGAGAAGCTCACCTACGCCAACGAGGGTGTCTTGTTTGAAGACGTATCGCTTCAAGTTGGCCTCAAGTCCCGCTACCAAGGGCATATGGGCCAGATTGCCGTCTACATCGGCAACAAGCTCTCCGCCCCATTCACCTCCTTCACGACCAAGATCGACGTACCGGAACCGGACGCGTTATCGGTATCTTTTGCTAAGATACCGCCAAACACCGTCGCCTCGCGGACCCAGTCTCAACAGATTCTTCACGTCGAGTGCAAAAAGCCCTTTACGAAGCCACCTGTGCTCACGATCTCCTTTCTGGCCGGCGCGCTGCAGACTGTCGCCATTCGCCTTCCCATAGTGATGTCTAAATTCCTCGAGCCTGTCAGCTTAGGCCAAGCGGAGTTTTTCGAACGGTGGAAGCTCATCGGGGGCCCGCCGCGCGAGGCGCAGAGCGTGTTCACGATTCCCTTGACCGCAGCTGGGAATATCGACCTTGATAGAAATCGCTCGGTTGTTTCCGGATGCCAATTCGCCGTTTTACCGAATGTCGACCCGAACCCGAGCAATATTGTTGCCGCTGGTGTTTTACATATGTCTGTAGGCGGTAAGGTAGGTTGCCTGCTGCGGCTCGAGCCGAATAAGGATGCAAAGGTGAGCACTCGATCAGGGCGTTGATGCTGGCATTGATCATCTGTTTTAGCTCTGTCGCATCACCGTGCGTAGTACGTCTGAAGAAGTTGCTGCAGAAGTACAAAAGCTAGTACAGAAGCCGATATCCACAAATTCAGCGAGTAAACCGTGACCGGACACTATAGTATACCCACACTGTGTCCATGTACAATGCGATGGAGAAATTGCTATCTCACTTTCGACCCCAACTGCGCAAGAAGTTGTTGCGCTTCGCCTTCGCTATCTCGTCGGTGCCGGCCACAGGGGAAGACGGTTGTGAGTTGAGCCCAGAATCCGTAGAGCCGACGCCCGACAGGGAGCTTGATGATAAAGTACGGCCGTGCGTCGGCCGCGGGGCTGTTGACGTACGCTTCGTTGGCTTAGCTGTTGATGGCCGGGCCGACGCAGCCGAAGACTCTGACGTCTCTTGCTGGTGCTGCTGCGATGATCTTCCTGGGGCCGTCGTGGGCCGTACACGTAAAGAGGGCTTTTTGCGTCTCGCAGGTTTTTCGCTCCCAGGAGTATAAGCGTCGGAAGACATCGATTGCGCCGTGGCTGATGCAGTGGATGTAGCAAAGGAGAAATTGTCCATACTAGGAGCAGTAGCCAAGGACGAGACTCTGAAGAGAGCCTCCCGCTCGACGTCCGCGAAGCGAGCGCATAACTTCTCCAAGTGCGGGGGCTGCGCTTCGGACTTAAGGGCCTCCGGCCGACGCACGAGCGCAGCGCTCACGATGGCGAGGTGGCGCGGAACGTCGACAGCACGAGGCGGAAGAGGTAATGCCTCTGCCTGCAACGTAGGCATGCGTCGCTTGCGGTCTTTGAGTGCGCGCTCGGCGCGTTGCCGCGTAGTCTGCTCTTCTGTACGTGGCATCATGCGATTCGCGTCATTTAGTGACGACACGACCAGAATGTAGTCCAGCATCTGCGGTTGTGTCTCTTGAAGGAACGTCTTGACTGGCGCCATGTACTCCTCCTTCTGGACCTCGACTTTAAGATTGGCCAAACTCTGCAGAGTCTTGGCGATCAGCGTGAGAGTGCGCTGGACGCGCGCATCCAACGGCGCTGGGATGGAATGAGTATGATAGAGATCTGTGCGCAGATAGCGCGGCACGCACCGGGGTATAATCCGTTCAGTTGCGGGTGAAGGATTGCAGGCACGAGATAACGCAAGAAGCAGAAGGCATTGACGGCCTGCCACTGTAGCTCCTTCTGTTCAGGATAACGCTCTACAACCAACTCGCGCACACGATTGAATAGTCGCTTGAGCTCCCTAGACTAGTATAAGATGGTGTGGTGGTTGAAGATGCTCAAACTCACAAAGGGCACTCGTATCGTGCATCATATATCTCCCTCCAAAACTCCGAACACCACTGCAGAAGGTTTGTAACATCCCTAGACGTGCCACCTCGAGTAGGGTCGGTCTCAAGACACACGTTCTCCACGCAGAGCCGGCGTATGGAGTTGCCGAGACTTTGCTCTAGCCATGTTCTGCCGTACCAACCCATAGTTAGCTCCGCCGTCTTCGTTAGCGCGGTGTTGCCGCGGAACAGGGTCTGAGCTGTGGCTATCGTTAGCTTGTGGCCGGAGTAGGGGGAGTGAGGTTTGTACCGTTCGCGTCGCCGTCGATATCGCGTTGAGCAACCGCAAGTAAGTGCCCTAGAAGCATGTGTCGTGCCATAGCAATGGCAGTGAGCGTGCTCGAGACAGTCTTGATGCCCAGATTTGTCTCGAAATCGACGGTCCAATCGAGGTAGTTACGCCCGTCCAAGACCTGGCTCTCAATGAGCTCCGAAAGACTGAGAAAGATGCCGCAACTCACGTCCAGAACGCGATTATACGCTGCCTGAGGAAGAATAACTTCTTCTTGAACTTGAACCCTAAGACGGAGCTGGCCAACCTGAAGAGGGGCGTTGACGTGACTGGAGCTTCCATATAACACAGGGAACCAGCCATCCACGAGAGACCCTCGGCGGAAGTTCGTTAATGAAATATCCACACTTCCGACGAGTGTGGGCTTGATGCCTCGCTTCTCTTGCCAGACGACGACCAGCAAGTAATCGAATTGTGGCAAATCGGGGAATGTGAAACGCTCGTGCCACTCGGGTGAGCCGAGACTGCGTTTGACAATGGTCCTTGCGGAGAGCTGACGACTGATGTAGACCTCGCAGTAAAGGTCGAGGTCAACCGCCTCTGGCTCATTCCCATCTCTACCAGGTTCAGAAGGAGAGGATGAGCTAGGGATAGATCTAGACCCGCTGAAGTTGCGCCCTTGAGCGATGTGTAGATCCACCTGGCGCCAGATACGATACATGCCGCCTTCTGGAGACGTATTGGACCCGTAGATTTCGGGGACGGCGTATGAACGTAAGATAGCCATCCATGTGAGCAGCGAATCATGAGATGACAGCGCAAAGTATAAAGGTTCTGTCGTGTGCGTTGCCGTCCTGCGCTGATGCGGTCTGAGGATAGGTCAGCCGGATAGAGGTATTGTCAGGAGAACTAGCATACGATGTACAATGCAGCCCTAGTACATGGTCGCGCAGGAAAAGCGATCGATCTCCGGGACGGATGCTGGTAGTTTGAAGCGTATGGACATGTATAGTCTGCAGCAATGTAAGGTCCTGCTTAATGGTTAGCCACAAGCCTGGTAATTGAGCACGAGTGCACGAACGTTCAGGAAGACCCTGAGATTACAGTTGTCACCCTCTTCAGTCAAGCGACATGTAGCCTGCCTCCAGCTTTCGATATTGCTACCTCTCGCAAGGTTCAGCCAGGATGATTTCTCTGGCCATACGATTCAGCCGCGTCCTCCGTCGCTGAGCTTCGATCACGTACCCTTGACCTTCTTCTGAGCATCCTCCGCTAGGGAGGACATGGCTCGCGAATCCCTCTTCTCATTCTTCTTGCGGTGCCCGGCAGGCTACACATTGTATCAGAATGCATGCTCCAAGAATCTACAACCTCCAACACGCCTTCTTCAGCGCTGCGATCGTCTTGGCCGACAAGTAGACATCGGCTTCGAACGAGTACTCGCGCTCCGTGGGATTGTCGGACCACGAGGCTTCCATTTCACCATAAGGGATGACAGGCAGTAGTAAGCGACGGCTAAGGATGTTCGTGCTTGTGTCACCGAAGGACACGGCAGGCGCAAGGCAAGCGCGCATCCCGCGCGCGGGCGGCGGTCTCAGCACATTGCTCGACTTCGGCCCGATATGCCGGGCACTTGGGACCTGCTTTACGTACCATGAGATCTTGAGAGCTCGTGTCTTCGATCTGCGCGCTGCATGACATTCGCACCTCGGCGAGGCAACCATATTCTCAGTCATCAAGCAATCATTCATATATACTGTACACCGGTGACGAAAGCTCGGCATTCGCTTGGCTAAGCCCATAAGCACTGAACTAGAGATACATTCAAACAGCGCGCAGGAGTTCCCAGAGACGATACACAGCTGTTTGTTTCCACTATTGCAAATGAGAAATGATATGGTAACCGAATGACAAGACAGTATTGCATGGAGGAGTGCGAGTGCGAGTCCGTGTGTAATAACAATGCGACAGCGAGGATTTCACGTGATGACGAGGGCGGGGCCGTCATGGAGGTCGACGAGCAACACTTGCGACCTGAGCAAAGTATCAGAGATGACCATTTGAGGGTTCACAGCGGAACGTCTCACCTCGCAGTGGGTTTGTACTTTTCAAATGCCTCGAATGCCGATCTCTGAACCTGGCGCTTGTCCATGTGCGCATGTGATGCACAAACAAGGCATAGTGGAGAATCGGACGGAGCCAGAGTGTAAGACGCAGGAATCTGATGGCGACGATCAGCGTGAGTTGTCTGATGGCTACGTCTTCAACCTACACCAACGGCACGAAGAGCCTTGACTAAATTGTGGATGAAGGCGAGAGAACGGGTCCTCAAGTCGTTGAGATCGTGCATGTCCAGACCTAAGATCGTCAGCGTTAGCCAGACGGCTATAAGCCGGCGACATACAGAAATTTGATGTGCTACTCCAGGTGGGAACGGTGCAGTAGAGTCTGACTTGCTCGCTTGAGTCGGGGGAGGCACGCGAGAGTAGTCTGAGGCGAATGTGAGGACAGGTCATGAGAGCACATGTACGCTCGACACCCACTCCGTGATAGGCTGTACAGCGTGATCAACATCGCCCATCTACATCGAGAGCAAGTCAGGTCTTTTACGACGGGATGGGGACAGGGGACGTTCGGACCTCGTTCAAGGCATCATGATCGCTGCTGTGGCCGTCTTCAAGGAGGATAGGTGCATGGGTAGCAACAGACATGGTAGAGTGAGATGTGGGGAAGTAAGCGGGGCAGGTGGGGGGAGTGGGGATGGTCGTGTGCGCAGGGCGGGGTGCGGGGAAAGAAAGCATATGGACCACTACATAAATACAGCAGGGCGGTAAAGGGCACATGGCCGGCCACGCTTCAGCGCTTCAGTATTAGGGCCTAGGCTAAAACGCGAATCCTTGGGAACAAGCGCGCCGGTAAACTTCGGCGTTCGGCAGGAAACGGGTTGACGCGGACTGTTCTGGCCGATGTTGTTGGCCGAAACAGGAGTCTCGAGAGTGCCAGACCCATCTTTTTCAGCATTCAGTCTGCCGATACAGGGACCTCGGTACAGTTATGTTTCTTGGTTGTTCCCAGTGCATCACAAGACGAGTGACGGCGCCAACCAGAAATGGACTGCCTCTAGGCAGGAAAGGTCATTTCCCACAAGTTCTCGGATTTTGGCATCAGGGCACGTGTGGCGCGACGATGACGTCGGAACGCGACGCGGTTCGCGTCAAGGCCGCCAATTCGCGCGTCTATTCCGCATCTTCGCATCTTATGCACAACAACCATCATCCGCTTAGCCTACGACTACTCACGATCTGAATTATAATCGCCCCTCTGTACATTAGCTAGGCATGTGGTGGCTAGATCCAGGAAAGGAGGTTCTGAATGCCGTATGTCTTTACGCGTTCAACTGTCCGGCTCGGTGGTATTGATGCCCATAACGTGCTTCCCAGGTCTTCAATCGCATCCTTGCGCCGTACGTGGAGAATCTGGACATGAACCAGGTGAACTACGGTATTGGACAAGGTGAATACGTATATCATCGTCGGCTATCTCAATCTCTGACGCCACGCTCTAGGGCAGTTGACTCTGCGAAAGCTACGTTTAAAGAAGGGCGCACTGGACAAGTTCAATTTGCCCGTCGAGGTCGTGGAAGGGTTGGTCTGGCCTTTGCGTGACTCGTCTTCAATCATGTAAATGACATCGTGTAGACATCTCGGGACGTTCACCTTGTCCTTGCATTGGCGCAATCTCGGCAACCAGCCCGTTGAGGTCCTCATCGAGGATGTATACTTGTTAGTCGTGCCAGCACCCACTGGAGAGGAAGATCCTGAAGAGGAGGAGAAGCGCGAGCAAGCTGTCAAGTCTGAGAAGCTTGAAAATGCAGAGATTCTCCATATGCGTAGCCAAACGGAAGTGAAGGACGGTGTGTACTTCGCTCATGTGCGCCGTCTCTCCATCCGTCTGATCGTAGAAAGACCCGCCGCAACAGCAAGGCCTTATTGCTTCTCTCATCGCCAAGATTGTCAATAATCTCCAGGTGACGATAAAGAACATACATGTTCGCTACGAGGATAAGCTCAGTGTGCCTGATGTCGGTACTTGACTCTATCATCCCATGCGTGCAACTGACACGGTGTATTAGCATCCATTTGCTGCTGGCCTCACTCTCGCGAGCCTGACGGCATTCTCAGTAAATGACCAATGGCAACCCGCATTCATCGAGAGCACGGCCGGGCGTGTTCACAAACTGTCCAACCTCGACTCCCTAGCCGTCTATTTCGATACGGACGCGAAGAGCATACTCGGTCTTCCCTACCAAGAATCTATCGATACATTCCATACGATGGTGCGTCTATCCTCATAGCAAGTTTTGATACGTAGACTCAGATGGGCCGGAAGATCGCCCGAACCGACAGCACTACGTCGCACCAGTTTATCCTGCAACCCGTCTCTGGTGAAGGCCGGGTGTGTACATTGCTGTGAACTGTACTCAGCAATGGTGGTTCATCCTTCGCACAGATCGTCATGAACAACCATCCAGATAACGACAACCCTCGGTTCGATGTCGAAATATTGTTTGACTCCATCGGCGTCGTCCTGGACGACCATCAGTATCGGGATGCGATATCACTGGTGGACATGTTTCACTTTTATCGTAGACAGCACCAGGTATGCGAAGAGTGGTGTGAGAGTGACCGTATAATTAATTGTTCGTGTGGGACAGTACCGCAAGCTACGACCGACACCTGAGGAGATGGAGGAGAGTCGCCCGCGAGCGCTTCTCAAATTTGCTGGGAGGGCTGTGTTGGATGGCGTGCATGAGAAGAACCGCCAGTGGACTTGGGCTCATTTCGCCGAGAGACGGGACGACAGACATGCATACGTCGACCTGTTTAAGAAGAAGCAGCTCAACGCGGGCACGCCTCAAGTGATTCTGCGAACCTACTACCGCATCTTCTCTTGCTGACTTTCACACAGGACGCGAATCAGCTGGCAGCTCTCGAAAAGAAGTTATCATATGAGGACATCCGCTTCTACCGCTCCATTGCTCGATCGCAGCTGCGCAAGGATAAGGCTTTGCGGGATAGATTGGAGAAAGAAAAGCAGCAGGCGCAAGGCCAGCAGCAGTCCTCGGGCTGGGGTGGCTGGCTTTGGGGATCTTCTTCGACGAAGCCTGCCCAAGAAGACGAGTCATCCTTCCATGGTCCAATGACGGAGCAGCAGAAGAAAGAGCTCTACGACGTGCTCGACTTTGATGAGAAAACCGCCCTTGCGAACTCGTTTGAGGCACCTCGCGAGCAGATCAAGATGCGCGTCGCCGCACAGTTGAAGAAAGGTTCCTTCGCTCTCAAAAGCGATCCTCATGGCTCGGCTACAGATATCCTGGCGATCGTTTTTGATGGCATGGCCGCTACGTATCTCCAGCGTCGCGATAACATGGAAGTCACTGCCTCGTTAGGTAGCTTCGGCATCTCCGACAACACCACGCCTGGCTCTCTGTATCCTCAGATCGTGCAGGTCAAGACTGAAGTAACCGGCGCCCCCGACGACAAGCCCTTTTTCTACGTCAAATTCGAGAACAACCCGCTTGATGAGCGAGCAGACATGGGTGTGCTTGTTCGCATGCGTCATATGGAGATCATATACCATAAGGGGTATGTCGAGGCGGTGTACCGGTTCTTTAAGCCGCCGGAGAGTCAGTTAGAGTCCGTTGAGGCGCTCTTGGTACGTTTGTCTGTGCACGCCCCTTCCTATGCGCTCAATCGACATCACAGAGTGCTGCCAGTGAAACGCTTGAAGGTCTCAGGAAAGAAACTAGGGCCGGCCTGGAATACGCTCTTCAAACGCACAAGACCGTTGATCTACAGGTGGACATGAACGCGCCAATTATCATAATCCCAGAAAGGTAAGCATATCATCGTTTAGTTCATTGCTTCGCTCATTCTTGTTAGTGTCTCCATTCCGAAATGCACGCATCTGGTGATTGACGCCGGACACATCGCCGTGGAAAGCGACCTCGCAGACAAAGACGCTGTCCAGGAGGTCTACAACAAGCGGAACCAGCAATACACGGACGAAGACCAAGCCCGGCTCGAGTCCTTGATGTACGACAAGTTCTTCGTCCGTTTGCAAGCTGCGCAGGTGAGTCGTTCACGGTGATCATACGTGCAAAGCGATTGATCATAGTACAGTTCGTTATCGGCGAGGATCTAGGGTCCTGTAGACACGCACTCACTTCCCCGGACAGCAGCAAGAGTCACTTGCTCGAGCGCATCAATATCGATCTGCAGCTCCAGAAGTGCATTGTGTCAACAGCGGCGACGCTTTCGCGGATCAAAGTTGCTGGTTCCCTCCCGGCCCTGAAGGTCAACTTCTCCGACGCCAAGTACAAGTCGCTTCTACGCCTCATCGACGTCACCATTCCACACTTCGGTGACGACAAGCCTAGCCCGCAGTCCAACCTTCGATTGCCTCCTGGCTTCTTCGGGGATACCGGAAAGGAATACCATTTGGACGATGAGGTTCAGTCGGAGAACGGCGACGACGACCAGAACGTGGAGGCTTCACAATCTACTGTACGTAGCCTGCATCGAAGTGGCTCTCATTCGCTAATGTTCGACTTTCATCGCTAGGATGCAGGCATTCTGCAGAAGACGTTCGAGCTAGATTTTAGAGTGGACATCTTGAGCGCTTCGATCGCTAAAAAACAAGGCGACGATGAGAAAGCCCTTGGTTCTCTGTCCTTCAACAAATTTGGTCTTGCTTTCGCGATGACGGAGATGGACATGAAAGTTGATGTTCGGCTCGGGTAAGTTGCACTTACCCTCACATGGTTCTCCGTGCTGACGTTCTCCAGCTCGCTGTCAATGGAGCTTGTGGACGTCGGGCCTGAACCATTGGAGGTCTTGTCGTCAGCTGATGTAGAAGGCGGGCATGCCGACAGCGTCGATCTCCTCACCGTCGGATATACTCGTGTGCAGCAGAAGATCCCAGAGCTTCTCTCACCATATGATGGCGCAGACCAGAACGTCGACATGAAAATCTCGACCGTCATCGTTCGCTTGTCCCCCGAGGCCATCCTTACTCTGTACGACTTCCTTATGACGACTTTCGTACCTTCAACTGGTACTGATTCTGGCGCCGCTGCGCCTACGCTCGAAACGGAGGAAGTAACGTCTCCTGGAGCTGCCGCAAAAGATGATCAGGCAACGGGCAAGATTCGTGTTTCTATCAAGCTCGCTAGTGTTAAAGGTGTGTGTATGAGTTGCCGGTGATCAACCTAGCTCAATCATATCCTCTAGTCATCCTCATAAACGTCTCCTCACGCCTTGCAACTTTGGCTCTATCCACAGCGACGACGACCGTGATTGTAATCCCTGGCGGTCTCGATGTTCAAGCTCATCTCGGCTCACTCTCGCTGTCCGACGACTCTCCGCAGCAAACCTCGCTCCCCCAATTTAAGCATCTTCTTTCCATTGAAGGAGACAGTCTGGCAGAGATCCGCTATCAAACGTTCAACCCTAGCGAGGTCGACAGGCGTCATGGTGTCAAGTCTGCAGTTGAGCTCACTGCGGGCTCCTTGAAGCTGCATTACCTTGAGCGACCCTTGCATGATCTCTACGTCTTTCTTTCTAAGCTCGCGAAGCTCAAAGGCCTCTATGACTCGGCAACGCAGGTCGCTGTTCAACGCGCTTCTGAGATCGAGAAGATGCAGCTCAAGCTCGACATTTCCACACCCATCATCGTCCTTCCGGCGGACCCCGTCACATCGCATGATATTCTTACGATGCAGCTCGGCGCTATCAGCTTGGACAAAAGTTACACCAACACCCATTCGAACATGGACGCAAGTCTACGCGGTCTGAAGCTCACTTCGACGCTCGGGGCGTCTGAAGGCTCTTTCACGTTGAAGATGATCGATGACATTGAGATAGTAGCCAAGGTTGTGGCTCCCCTCGTGCCGCCTCAGGATTCCTCGCAGCCGGAGACACAAGTAAGTGCATACAGTCGGCGTATCGATACAGTCTCACTTAACTTCCCCAAGGTGTCTGTCACGATATCGGATGTCAAGCTGTCCTTAACGGAGCGGCAGTACCAGATGATCTTGGACCTGTCTCTTTCGGTCCCGCGTATCTTAGCAGGCGCACCTAAGGGTGCCGCTCAAGCGGATAGCTCTGCAGGCACTCCACAACGTATCGCGAGTGGGACGGATATACCAGCCGAGGTTGGGCTGAATCCTGAGTTAACCGTGACATCTTCGGCAGTACGCACATCGATGGATGTCATAGTGACCGCGAACTCCATTCAGCTCAACCTGTACGGACGCGGGGCAACAGACGAGGCGTCGCTGAGGCAGAACGGGCTCGCTCGATTTGCTCTGACCGGTAGTGATGTCCGCGTGAAGATGATGTCGGACGGCGCCATGGAGTGTCAGATCATCCTCAAAGCCTTCACGATGGGCGACACTCGGCCTGGCGCGAAGTTCCGCGAGGTTATTCCCGCTGCCAAGCACCAACGTAACCAACTTATGGTCTTGTATACGTCCTCCGGCGGACCAAAGCCTGCATCGCTTGCCGTCGTGACAGTTGACGCACCTCACATCATCTTGGCCGTGGAGCTCGTATTCGGCCTTCTTGCGTTCTTGACCAGCCCTTTCAAGTCGAAGGACGAGACAACCGAGCCTGTAACGGCAGAGAAGATCGATGATGCACCTTCGGAGTCTTCTGGCATGGACTTCAGGTTCGATATGCACGACGTCTTAATCAGCGTTCTCGAGGACGATCAAGATATGAACTCGCAGGCCGTTCGCTTGCACGTCGGACAGATCTCCATGTCCCAGCAGGTTCGCCGTCCTAGTTCATAAACTATCAACACATACTCACTTCGCAATAGGGAGTGCTCGCGCTGACGGTCGACAAGCTAGGCATGTCTCTGACGCGCATGGGAAAAGGTGCCGAGGAAGTGCGATTCTTGGACGACCTCGATCTTACACTGTCTATGGATAACAAGATGACAGCGGATCAGACAATGACGAGCATCGAGATAAGCTGCAAGCCCGTCGTCCTTCGTGCATCGTACCGGGACATCCTACTTATCCTCGCGATCACGCATAAGGCTACGGTCGCCTATGCGCAGCAAGCCGCCTCCCCGCGGTCGCCCACTGATGTGTCGTCTTCAGCCCGGAGTCTACCATCTTCTCGTCCCAACGCCATGACCCGGTATTCGTCCCGTGGAACCCAGCAGTCTTCTAGACCACTTGGCAGAGCTCACGTCTCCCTGTCGTCAGAATCGGTAAGTGGATCCACGCGTGTGCACTCGCGTATCTCACCCATCCCTACTTAGCTGAAAGCATCGCTTGACGGTCTCAAGCTCATCCTCATCGGAGACTTGCACGAGCAGCCAATGGTCTCCGTGCAAAGTCGGCCTTTCCGTGTTGGCGCTAAGGACTGGTCCGGCGCGGTAAGTCTACCTTGCGAAGACAATGCCCCATATTGAAATGCCTCACCCCAGCTCGACGTCTCGACGACTATCGCGATGAGCATCGACTACTGGAACTTGTCAAACTCGCACTGGGAACCACGTACGTTAGATACACATACTGTCTCAAGACATATCTGATCGCATCTGTTTAGTGATCGACCCGTGGACGTTCACAGCTGGGGTGAGATCATCCCTCTGCTCTGTTACGGTGTTTACTGATGACGTTTGTAGGTTGGGAGGCCCGACGCATCTGGAGCTATGAACTTGAGCTTAACGTCGCGCGAGCGACTCAATCTCAACATTTCGACAACCTCTGTTGAGATCGCTCTTGATATGCTCAAGGTCATGAGCCAGCAAGGTGATCGTGTCATGGCTACAGCGAGAGGATCCTATGCGCCGTACCGCATCCGCAACCGAACTGGTACCGATCTTTTCGTGTGGTCCGATGTTGAAGGAGCCGAGAAAACGGACGCCAATGCTGCGAAACTTACCAACGGCCAGACCACTGATTGGCGCTTTGATGACTGGCGGACTATGCGCGAGGTGGGCGTGGGGTCCATGAGATGAAAGTGCCGATATCTTACACGTTCCTTGCAGCATACTCCATCGAGGGAGCACAGTATCGCGATCCAGTTCGTTGGGCAGCCATGGGAGCAGTTGCGTAGCATCCCTGTCGATCGGGAAGGAGAGTACACATTCTCTTTGCGACCGCGTACCGAGGCAATCTATTCCCGCATGCTCTGCGAAGTCAAGGTCGAGTCAGGGGTCAAGATCATCACATTGCGTTCAACGTACAGAATCCGTAACCAAACGTTGTACCCCGTCGAGATAGGTTTATCCGACGAGGACGGACGTACGAAGCATGACGTCTTCAAGCTGGGTCAGTCTTAATTTGTCGCGTACATTCTATATGCTGATATTGTACAGCACCGGGTCATGACTATCCTCTGCCGATCGAGACCGTCGGCAAGTGCAAGGTTCGCATACAGCCCGATTCTGGGTTCGGCTACAAGTGGTCAACGGGTCTCCGATGGAACGACCTCATCTCACATCAATCCTTCACCTTGCGTTGCCCGCATACCGATCAGGGCGAGGCTGCTTTTCGCTTCCACGCTTTTGTCAAGACGGACACGATCACTCAGCCTCTGCGGTGAATATACGTGTGGATCTATGAAGCGGCCATGACTCACTTATCTCCAGGCGATATCCAAAGATTGACTTGTCTCTGCGCGCTCCCATTGAGCTCGAGAACCTGCTGCCGTACAATTTGCAGTACAGGATCTACGACAAGGACACCGACCAAAACTGGCGCAGTTACCTCCGAAAGGGCGGGGTGATGCCCGTTCACTCAGTTGAGCTGGGCCACCTCGTTCTTCTGAACGTCGAAATCCAAGATACGCGTACGTCCTCACATATTCTGCTAGTCCCTTCACATCTAAAAACCGTCGCACAGAGTTCAAACCGAGCGACTTCAGCATCATCAACACAGACGGCCACTCCGACTTCGATATTGAGAAACGGGTGACAGTGCAGGATGCAAAAGGCCGCAAGCTCGATCTAGCGCTGAACTACGTGTGCGTCATACAAGATCTCACTCTACGTTTTACTCACGTGGATCCAGTAAGCATGCGGATGCTGGAGGGGCGTTCAAGGTACAGATATACTGCCCTTACTTGGTTGTGAATAAGACGGGCCTACCCTTCGGCATTCGCTCGGTTCGCACGAACCGTGCCAGCGGTCCCCAGGACGTCGCAGGCGACACGAGACCAGAGGTCCTGTCCAGCAACGCGCCTTTTTGTACGTGGGTTTCCGCAGATATCGCCGAGCCTTTCTTGACAAATCACAGTGTTGTCCCACCCAAGCGAACATGGCAAGGACTTCGTGCTCAAACTCGGTATGTTCTCATTCGCACGCGCATCTACCAGTCTAATCATGTGGCACAGGCGATTCCGGATGGTCCAAGGTACGAAATGATGCCCATCATGATACCCACGGTGTTGATATTCCGTCAGACGCTGAGCTTGGATGCTCCTGCTGCTGATACGGAGCTGACAATACCAGCCGAGAAATCGCAGGAGGTTCATGTCGGGTTGTCTTGGACAGAAGCTCTCGGCAAGTACAAACTTACGAAAGTCATCACGCTGTGCCCGCGTTTCTTCGTCAAGAACGACTTGCCCTCTGCTACGCTATGCGTTCGTGAGCATGGAGTGGCTCCGAAGGGCCGCTCCGAACTCAAACCGGGTGAACGCATTCCCCTCTTTGCCATGCGTGTTGGCTTTGAGAAGCTTATCACCGTTGCATTCCCCGGATTGGATACACAATGGTCGCCGCCTATCAGCATCGAAGACATAGGCCCGGTTTACTTCAGGTTGCGAGAACCAGGGCAGCGTGGCTCGGACCATCTTGTATGCGCGGACATCAAGATGAAGGATGCGACGATCTTCATTAACTTGAAGGCAGCGGATAATGACTGGCCGTACATTGTGGAGAACGATAGGTGCGAGTCACGAATAAGTCGTAAGGGCGATATTGACTTTGACGCATAGCAATTATCCGATCACGTTCCAGCAAACGGTAAGAACTCACAATCTCATTCATCATACGCTACTCATGAGGCTTTAGGATGCCGTACATGCAGAGGGTGGTGAACAACCCGGAAAGCAGCATCCTCGATATGATCTTCCCGACCATACCATGACGCCCTACGCTTGGGATTTCCCAGCTGCGCGTGACAAAAAGATCCAGCTCCGGATATACGATTCTCGGCGCAACGTTGACATCTCAGAGGTAAACGAGTGTCGTGAACTTAGGACCAAGTGTGGCTGACCTTCAACCCCAGATCGGTCCCCTCATGCCGTTCGCCTTTGTCGTGAGATCCTTTCGTTACTTCGCTTGACCAATCCTAACGGCCGTCCAGATTTCCGGCGGTAATGGCAAGAAAGGCGCCGTATCTCTCGACGTTCGCGCAGAAGGTTCGAAACAGATTCTGCGTATCACAAACTACAACAAGGAGACGAGCGTCTACCAGCCCAAGCGACGAAACACCATGTCATCGACGTCCCGTGCGGATACGCTGCGAACAGATACGATGTCGAGCCAGGAGGCGTTCGAGGCGGTCACGGAGGAAGTTCCTCCTACGCTCGCGTTCAAGCTCGACTTCGAGGGTATCGGCGTGTCGCTCATCAATAGGCGTCTCATCGAAGTCGTTTATCTCACTGTGCAACAGCTGAAGTTCGAGTATACGTCAAGTCCCGTTGCTCAAGCTGTCAATCTATCTGTCGGCGGCCTGCAGATCGATAATCAGTTGCACGACGGCGCCTTTCCTGTCGTTCTCCAGCCAACGCCGTTGTCTCGCGAACTCAAGAACGCGGCTCCCCTGCCAACGATACAAGGATCGGTCATCTGGCTCAACGATCAAGGTTAGCTTCGTCATACAAACATCGTAGTATTATCATCCACGTTGATCTATAGAGCATGGCGTCCTGTTTGTCAAGTATTGCTCCGTGTTACTCCAGGCGCTCACAGTCGAGGTCGACGAGGACTTTCTCTACGCGCTGCTTGATCTCAGCCAGGTCAAAGGGCTGTCGTGGGAAGAAGAACAGGAAGATATCCTCATCGAGTATCCTGAGTCTATTCCGGAGCCTGAGGACGCTGTCTCTGGCTTGACGTACTACTTCGAGGTGCTCGAATTGCAACCCATCCGTCTCGCGCTCTCGTTCATGCGTATGGAGCGCGTCAGCGGCGAGGAAAGGTAAGAGACTAAGCATCTGTCAAGGTTCTGCGCGCTTACGTGGCCAATAGGCTGAGTATTCGCAATCCACTCGCGATCGTTGTGAACGCCTTGACAATGACTATTGGCAATGTCAACGATGCTTCGCTCGAGATGAACGCCTTGGCTATGAAGGACGTCCGCACCACGCTTCCGGACCTGCAGGCGCGCATCATGTATCACTACAGGCAAGAGGTTCTACGTCAACTCTACCGCATAATCGGTAGCGCGGATTTCATCGGAAACCCAGTTGGCTTGTTCACAAACGTCAGCTCGGGGGTGGCGGATATCTTCTACGAGCCCTTCAACGGCGTCGTCATGCACGGCAACCGCGAGCTTGGTGTTAGCATCGCCAAGGGAGCTGCCAGCTTCGTGAAGAAGACTGTATTCGGGTTCTCGGACAGCATGACCAAGTTCACTGGCGCAATAGGCAAGGGTCTCTCTGCGGCGACGCTTGATTCCGAGTATCAGCAGCGCAGACGCATGGCACAGCGACGCAATAAGCCGAGACACGCAATGTACGATCTTCTACGCTTCTTATAGTCCATTGTATACTGATAAACCTCGAGCTATGGTGTCGCGGCTGGCGCTGAGGCCTTCGCTAGCAGCGTTGCCAGCGGCGTCGAGGGCGTTGTCATGAAACCGCTCGAAGGTGCGGAGAACGAAGGCGCATTTGGGTTCTTCAAGGGCGTTGGCAAGGGGTTGGTCGGGTCAGTCTCGTTCTGTTCTTACCACATTGATATATGTCTGACAGGACACTCAGTGCGGCGACGAAGCCTGTCATAGGTGTCTTCGACCTTGTATCGAACGTGTCCGAGGGCGTGCGTAACACCACGACGGTCTTCGACAGTCCCGCTCGCGGCCGCGTGCGTCTTCCGCGTCACGTACCCGCCGACGGCGTGCTTGTTCCGTACAGCGCACGTGAGGCCAAAGGTCAGGACTGGATGAAGGACCTCGAGCACGGCGCGTACCGCTCCGAGTCATACGTCGCGCATGTCGTCTTGCCGGGCGGCGATAACGTCGTTCTTCTCACGGCTACCCGTGTGCTCTCGTTCTGGGCAAGCAAACTGAAGCTCGAGTGGGACCTTCCGTTCTCACAGGTCCAGGGCGTCACCGTCGAGGATCGCGGCATCCGTTTCGCGCACCGCGCAGGGCGTGCTCAAGACCGCTTCGTCCCGCTATCGGATAAGAAGGCGCAAAGCTGGTTCTTCGGAGAGGTCGCCAGTGTTGTTAAGACGTTCAATGCAAGGCGCAGGATCGAGGGCAACTAGGGTGATCGACGCATATAGTATTTCTCATTGTGATATCGGAGTTACGAAACGCAGAGGATGTGTAGGAGTCCGGACTGAACGAATTACGCGAAGGCTAGCAATGTACTCGAAGGTTTGAGCTGTAATCATGGACTGGTTATCGAATGTATATCTCTACTCTGAATGTAATGCACACACGATTCAATCTCGCTGCACGTTGGATGATCAGAAATAGAGGGTATGGTATGTATAGTGTGCAGGCAATGAAGAAACAAATCAAGGAGCGAGACATTGAGAGTGAACGAAGGTGTGCGGGTGATGAGACCGATGAGGCGGTAGATGAGACTCTGGGTAAATCAACGAGCACGCAGTACTCGGGGCATAGGTAGGTAAGCAAGCCGATAAGTAGATGTAGGTATGATTGGTAAATATGATTGGTATAGATTTTCTGTCTCCGAGGCTTCGAAAGCGCAAAACAAGAGGCTGGGGAACTCAGAAAGGCGGTCCGACGTTGTTGCCAGATGGGATGCGCCGAATGGGTCGCGGCGGCGGCGTGAGCGAAGCACCATTGACGGTGTGTTCGCTGAGCGTGGGGCTAGCCTTGGCTTGCGCCGAGTTCATGTGGGGAGCCGTGATAGTGGCTGTGCTCCCGACGCGCGCACGCTCATGTTCTACGCCACGGAAGCGCCCATGAGCGAAGTTCGCCTCGCTAGACGGGCTATCCAATGCGAGGAACGTGTCTCCACCCTCGGCCTCCTCGTCTTCGTCCTGGATCTCCCCGACTTCGTGACCCGCATAGCTCTGGCGCGGACTCGCACTGTACGCGCTCTGGAAGTCCGTATCGCTCTCGTCCGTCGTACCGGTGAACGTGGGCGTCAAAGCAGGAGTGGTGGGTGTTTCAGCCTGCACGTTCGCGGCGAATGCAGGATCGATGGGGCTCATCGCGCCGACGGAGGCGTCACTCGCAATACGGCGTAGCGGGGCCAGGTGCTTCTCCGGCTGTGGCTCAACTTGAGGCTCATCGCGGATCATCGTCTGAACGGGCCGCGTAGGCGTCGGTGGCTCGAGCGCCGTACGTTCGCTCTCGATTGAAACGCGCCCACTGCCCGTTCCGCGAGAGCTATCGGTACCCGCACGACGACGCGTAGGCGGCTTGCCGACGACGAGCTGCGGCTGCTTCTTGGCATTGCGCGTGCGACGGGCACTCGAGCGCCCGGAACCGTACCCAGCGGCACTCTCGTCCGCTGACGAGGACGCAGAAACCTCAGAGCCGACAAGGGCGGCAGCGTTCTCCAGTGTACTCTGGATGTGGGCCATCTTGCGTGTGATATGATCGGTACGTTGTTCGATGGCGGCGTCGCGATCCGGCTCCGCGGTCGTGCTGGCAGTGTTGGGACGGGCATGAGCGCCAAAGCGCTCGGTAGTATTCGGCCGCTCTGCGACGCTTGCGCTGAAGCGTTTGGTGCGGCTTGGCGTGAGCGGCTGCTCGTCCTCTTCCTCCTGTACGTCAAGAAGTGCGGTGCTGGGCATTTTGCTGGCGTCGTCCAAGATGCCGTGAGGGCCGGCGTACGAGTCCGCGAGAGTGCTATCCGTGGCGAAGGAGCGAAGATGCTTGTCGCCTCGGCGACGCGACGAACGAGAGCCGGCGCGGGATCCAGAGCGTGAGCCGGGGCGCGAGCTCGGTCCGGCGCCCCACTCGCTACCTGAAGCATCTTCATCGTCAAGATCGTCGTCCGCGTCCGAACCAATAGCCATACTCGCAAGCGCACGCTCGATCTGCGCCTCCACCTCGGCGACCATCTGCGCGCGTTCCTCTTCCATGCTCTCCATCATCTCGCGCATCTGGCCGAGCTCCTGAACGGCGGAGAGGTGTGCAGACTCGGTCTCCCGGAGTTGACTCTGCAGCTTGTGTTTCTCAGCTGCAGTCATAGTGACGAGCCCGCTCAGCCTGCGCGTCTCCCGCTGCTCACGATTGATACGCGAGCGCAACTCGGCGGCTTCCGCGGCGAGCTTCTCAGCGTGGCCCTCGAACGCGACGAACTTGTCCCGCCAAAGATCGGATTCGGTCACGAGGAAGTTCAGACGGCGCGAGAGCCTGCCAATCTTCGTCTCGAGCTCGTCGCGAGCATCAACAAAGGCCGTCGCACGCTTGCGGATGCTCAACTGTGCCGTCTGTTCTGCCGCACTGAGCTTCTGCGGCGTCTTCCTGCCCACGCCACCGAAGCCAGAGAGCCTCTTGAGCAAGCTCGGCCTCTTCAAATGGTCCTGCAGTACGGCGTCGAAAGCCTGAATGACGCGAGTCGAGTTCCACCACTCCGGCGCCTTGATCGCGTCGGCGACAGCCGCGGAGTTCCCGCCGCGCTTGGCCTGAATTTTGCAGACGGGACGGAAGCGGCCGGCGGGGAAGGCTTCTTTGAGCTCGGCAGGGACGCCGTGGTCGGCGTGGTAGTGTGGCTCGAAGGCTTGAAGAAGACGGGCGCGATACTTGTCGCGTTGGGCCTTTTGACTGACGAGACCTGGCGGAGGCGACGCACAGGAGAGGTAGTTGATGTCGCTGCGGAAACCGGTCACTTGTTGAACTCCCATGATCAAAGAGAGAGTACTCACATGTCGACGACGCAAACCTCGGGTGGCGGGCGAACGGCATATCGAGCTTCCGTCGCGAGACCCATAATCCACGGACCGGGGTCGTCGATGTAGATCTTCGCATCGCGAGAGTGAACGGCTTGAAGCGCGATACCGTTCCATCCGCGGAGCTCAACGAGGTACTTGATCGTCAGTACCGCGATACCAAGCATGGCAGGGTGGCGCGAGAAGAACAGAACGCGACCCGTGGGAGCCAGGGCGATCTCGCATATGGTCAAGATGTTGTCCAGGTTCAACGCTTTGAAGAGCGGCCACATCGTAAAGTTGATGTCGACGAGGCCGCGGCCGAAGTCGAGACCGCCAGGGAAGCGAGCGATGACTTCAAGCGAGGTATCGGAAGGACCGGGGTTCGCGCCAGGAGGAGTGGCACTGGCGTCGAGCTTGATGAGGTCGCCCGGTCGCGGGGAAGGGTGGGAGAGAATCTTGGAGATCTGGAGGGTGTGCGACTGGACATCCTTGGAGAAGCGGGCCCAGGATAAGGTGAGATAGTCGCGCATAAGATCATAGATAGGGTGTCGCGAAACGAGGGCTAGTAGACGATCAGCGTATTGCGTATATGTCAGTCTCGAAGCACTCACTGAGAGCGTATGGCAGCCAGAAGACGGTGTCACCAGGAAGGAAGAGGGTGCTCTCGCCGGGATTATGGCCTTGGACGGTGCTGGCGACGTCAAAGTCGGACTCGCTGACGCCGCCATCGGTCTCGTTGTCAAAGTCAGTCTCGCCATCCGTTTGAGCGGCAGAAGCTCCCCAGGGACCGCGAGCTGCCTTGCGGGCAGAGCGGCGGGCCTGGAGGGAAGGGTCCTGGTGACCTTCTGCTCGGAGAGAGCGAAGACGAGCCTGAACGAGACTCTGGGTAGACTCTTTCCGACTGCGGTTGGACTCGAGGGTACGACGGATAGCCTGGGAGCGCTCTGCGTCTGCGTGTGACCAGACTGTGAGACAGACGCCGTGGTATGTGACGGTGGAGGAGGGCGCGTCGTTGGAAGAGGGCTTGTGGGCGTTCGGGCCGAGATAGGCCGTGGACGGGCGCGGGTGGGCGTAGAGGGCGCTGGTCGGGCGGTCGATCGTCCTGAGCAGGGAGTTGCTCTGGGAGGCGGCCAGGGCGGGATTTGCCGGTGCGGCGGGGATGGCGAACGAGAACGTGTGGACGGTCGACGCCGGCTGGAGGGTGCTGGCGACGATCTCGAGCTCGCGGGTGAAGGAGAGCTTGAGCGTCTTTGCCAGCAGCTTGGCCGTCTCCTGCTTGCTGAGCGCGCCGGCTCCCTGGACGACCTCGGCGCCCTTGCCTCCCCGCCTCCGCCGCCGCCCTCCACCAGCGCCGGGGCTGACGGTGCTGCCCAGGACCTCGGCGCGCCACCAGCGGTTCACCGCGCCCTCCGAGTGTGCCAGGCCCAGGACGCTGTCCGCGTCGGCCAGGGTCCATGTGTGTGCGGCCTTGGGGAGGCCTGAGACGACGTAGAGGCTAGTGAGCGGGGTGGTGGGGGTGTGAGTCGGGGAGGGCGGCCTGTCGCGTGCGCTGCGTGTGCTGGCGACGCTTGTGCGGGTGGAGGCGGGGATGGGCTCCATGGAGGGCGAGTGACGGATGCCGAGGATGCGGGACGCCTTGTCTGATGGTGGCGAGACAGGAACGAGCTGGTGCGAGGAGGCGCCCGACGGCGACGGCGCTCGAATGAATTCGTATTCGCGCTCATCCTCCAGCCCGTCCTCCGTGCTCTCCCCCTCCTCCGCCCCAGACGCCTTCTTCCGCCCCGGCACTGTCGCCGTCCTGACCTCGAACTCGGCAGAGCCAGACACCCGGCCCCGGACAGAGCTCCCGCCGTGGATGCTGGCGCTCGAGATGCCCGCACCGACGCCGTACTTGCTCGCGCTGTGGCCCGCGCTCGACGTGCTCTTGCGCCCGTACTGCATGCCCGCTCTCAGTGGAAGCGTCCGTCAAGCTCGATGTCACTCAAACGCCCCCCGGGCGATCGCGCCAGGCCCGCGAATCAAACCAAACGTTAACGGCCCGCTTAGCTTCGACAACATCTCCGTTTCCGTAACCGCGTCCTTTCCCACTCCCCTATTTCTGACCCTTCTCAATCAACCCAGAACTCCTTCGACGGCGACGACAAAGACGCTGCCGCATCTGCTCGCTTTCCAACTCGGGCAAGCAAGCTGCCAAGAAGAAATATTGCTCCAGCTTTACGCGCTGTTCCCGTCTGCCCATCAAGCTCTTTCGACTCGGTCCCGTCCGGCGCTAGCCGCCAGAAACGGTCTTCCATCAACGCCGCAAATGAACTGTGGCCCCGGACCGTGCTGCGCCGGCCATCACGGTCGTGCCACCGTCGCCATGCACGACGCCACGATGTGAGCATAGGAGCGCCCGCCGGCTTCTCTGTACAGTGAGGGATGTTTGGAACGTATCGCGTGACACGCATAGCTTAGCTACCTGTAGACTTATAGTGTGACGCATATAATTCAAGGAAGAATGAGAGCGTGGCGACTGATGTCGTATTCACACCATTGCTCGCATCTCTACATGCTCGGCTCGCAATGCATCGACATCTCGCCAAGCAGCGAATCAGCCCAGCAGTGCCCAGTGCAACCGCTGTAGGCATCGAATCGCGTACTAGGCGCCGATGTCCGGCTCGAGGAAAGGGTATACTCGTTGAAATTCTCATCCCGCTCGATGCGCACCCTCTCCATTCCCCAATCCGAGACATCATGCAGCAACACCTGGGAGCGCAGTACGTACAGCTGTCCATCACACAGTCCGCATGCTCTCTACGTAGAACCCTCATCCTCACTCCCGTCCGCTCGAACCGGTGCGCCCAGTGAGACCTTTCAACCATCTCCAGGGGTCGCCTCGTTTGCTGCTGACAGGCACAGGCAGAACGGGTAACAACGCCTCCTGCTCCATCGGCTCCTGCCTGACTGGATGCTGCTCTGCCGGCGCAGGCACAGGCGCTCCTGTCTCCAACCCCAATCCCGTCGGTTCGCCCTCGCTCACAGCACGCCGCATCCCCTCGGCGCTCACGGCGCCGGGCGCTCCCAAGCTCCCACTGCGCATCCTCGTATGCCCGCGTCCAGCCCCATGCTGACCGCTCGCACGCCGGCGCCCGAGGGAGAACCCGGGGCTGACGGGCGACAGCCCGATCGTGAAGCCCGGCGTGGCTGGAGGCGGTGAGCTGAGCTCAGGGCTGAGCGTATGCCTCCTACGCGACGCGTGCGGGCGGGGGTGTGTATGCGTCGGCGAAGTTGGCGCATGATCGTCGCCGTCGCCGGATGTAACAGTCGAGACGGACAACGCCGTTGTTGTGCGTCTGCGATGCGCAAGTGACTGACTCGGCCCCGGAGCATGGCCCTGCTCAACATCTACGCCCACAGCGAGGTCAAGGGGCGCGAGTGCGCTCGTTTCATCCTCGTCTACTGCAACGTCCAATGCGCTGCTCGCCTCGCTGTCCGGTTCGGCAGTGTACGGGCCGACATCAACGCTCTGGTATGATACAGCCCAGACTCCAGCGATGAGGATGATAGTCCCGAGCACCACGAGCAGGAGATTGCGAGTGGAGAGAAGGGCGAATTGGTCATAGTAGACCAGACCATTAACGATTGAGGATAAATTGTAGAAACAAAACGCCACTGCATAATGACATGAGCGAGTACGCATGCAACCGTAAAGAGAGAGGCTTACGCGGGCACACAATTGTCGGGTCTGCGAGCTTCAACGCCTTGTGGAGGTACCACAGTTGTAATAACGCGAAGGCGACGAGACCCAGCAAGAGCATCCAAGCCTGCCAGCGCCAAAATTGGTTATCTCCTCCGATGGTGAGCAAAAGTAGCTCGACGCCACTCTTCGCGAAGATGAGGCACATGCCCGACACGATACCACTCACAGACGCGTACGACAGGGCTAGCGCCAGCGGTACGCGTGAGGGTCGTGAGGTAAGGATTACGGTAGAGGCGAATGAGTTGAGGGACGCGTTGGATGAGGCACGTTTGCGATCAAGAAGAGGGGTGCGCTCGCTCGTGGATGATGAAGGAGCGGCGGGTTCGAGAACAGGAGAGAGTGGGCCAGCTGCACGCAAATGGCGGAGGTGGCGGAAGTACGAAAACTCAGCGATGTGCGTCTATTAAGATTATTAGCATGAGCAAGCCTCTATGATAAAACCCACAGAACGCACGATAGCAAGTACGACGACAATTGCGAATCCGAGTAGCGAGAAGTAGACCACGAAAGCGGGGCGGTGAAACAGTGTCAGAAGATCCTCCAGAGAACGGGTAGGTTCCGGTACGACGCCAAATATGCCTATGAGCACTGCGCCACCTGCGATGAGTAGTGTACCGGCGACGACCCATGGCGACGTGCCGTCGCCTAGAAGTATCCGCGCGAAGAAGGCGTTCCATAAGAGTGAGACTGCGCCGAGTGGCGCCAGGATGACAACGGGCAACGACGCAATCTGGAAGATAGAGCCAATGATATTCGAGGATATGAAGATAGCTGTTGAATGTGAGATATAGCGTGCGTCGAATGATAATGTACGTACCGAAGCCCAGCAGCCATAATCTGTTTACAAGGCACGCGACCAGTCAATTCAATGTGAAGCGCGCAAGGTACAAGGGCACGCACGGTCTGCGGTATTCCAGACGCTGTTGTCCCTCCGGAAGAGCCTCGTTCAGGACGTGGCTCTTGCGTTGGATGGTGAGCCCGAGCGACTGCACTGCGGACGCGATCAGGCCGACGATGATGCCAGCCGCAATGGTCCCAGCGCCGCCCATGGCAGATTAGTACCAGAGATTACGGCTGCGAATATATGCCCGAGTCAAATGAGGAGATAGAGGTAATGAAAGCGGACGATGTAGAGAGAGGGTGCGATGGTGGTATGAGCCGAGTTTGTGTTGCTGAGCGTGGGCGCTGAGCCACGCATGTCGAACATGACGCGCGGCGCTACAGGCGTCGATCTTGGTTCGTGCGATCATCATCATGGCCACGGGCCCAAATACGGATGGCATGTCCGCCTTCTCCGTCGACGGTCGCCTCGAAACGGACAACGGCGTTTCCGTCCTCACCCACACCTCGCTTGATACGACCCATATCATCGCATCGGTCGGTGATGCTGGCGCGGGCGCCACAGCCGTCTTCATCGGCACGACGCGCGATTCATTCAAAGGTCTTAATCCTTTGAGCGGCTAAAAGCATCCCGCCCTCACGGTGCAAACAGGGAAGGTGGTCACCAGGCTCGACTACCAGGCGTACACAAAGCTCGCACTCAAGACAATGGACGATATCTTAGCCGCAACGCGCAGATCCATCCCTGTGCTACACACCGCTGTGTATCATCGCCTTGGCACCGTACCCGTCGGCGAGCCATCCATCGTCATCGCCGTATCATCCCCGCATAGAAAAGAGGCTTTCGATGCCTGTGAGATGGTCCTGGAGGATGTCAAGGCGCGAGCACAGATATGGAAGCGCGAGTTCTATGAGGACGAACCAGACGATGCGGCGGAGTGGAAAGAGAATCACTAGTGGTAACAGTCTTCAGAATGATTTGATTGTGATGTATATGACAGTATGAGCACGCATTGCCCGACATGTACTGGCTTCTGTCTCTTAAACAGTACATGAATGGGCAGTAATGAGTCGATATCATCGAATGCACCCATTAGACAGTACTGCACCGGAGAATTCCACGGGATGGGAGAAGGGATGCAAGTTTTGATAGTGGTACTCTAGCGCGAGAGACATTTCTTGACATAGTAGTTGATGAAGGGATGCAGTGTGATATGCTTGTACCACTCTACTACTGGGGGAATATTTTCATCAAAAGCCCAACGCGAGATGCGTGATTCTAACACAGCTTCATGAATATCGTAAGATGAGTATAGCGCGCGGAGTGGGTAGATATACAGTTGAACTTCGTCTTCGTTGTATCGATGGTTTGTACAATTAGCAGGCCGTAAGATAGGTAAGCTGACGAGATATCGACAGCCTTATTATACCCACTCCCTTGGGCTTTTGAGAACAGCGATAAGTTTGGCCTCTTCACTCTCAGGGTCCGTACCCATCTCCGTCATGTACTCCCAACGCACAGTCTCGGGAAGCGAGATGAGGATACTCTCGATGCGCGCGCCAGGGGTCATGAGGCCGAACTTGGTGCCGCGATCGTGTACGAGATTGAACTCCACGTAACGTCCGCGGCGAACGAGTTGCCAGCGACGTTGTTCGGGCGTGTATGGGATGGAAAGGCGACGCTTGAGAATGGGCAAGTACCCTGGAATGAAGGCGTCTCCTACGTCGCGCACGAAAGCGAAGATAGACTCCTGTGTCCACGGGCGAGCAGCGGTGTCGCCTTCGCTCGCGATGATTCGCTTATGCGGGTCGGCGCAAAAGTCGTCGTAGAAGAATCCGCCGATACCGCGTGCCTCACTCCGGTGGGAGAGGTAGAAGTACTCGTCGCACCACTTCTTGAGAGCAGGATACAGCGCCGTGCCGTGAGGAGCGCAGGCATCCTTGATCGTCTTGTGGAAGTGGACCGCGTCCTCCTCGTACAAGTAGGTAGGTGTGAGGTCGGATCCTCCTCCGAACCACCAGGCGAGTACTTCGGGCGAGTCTTCGAGCGCCGCGCTGGGCGGATTGACCTCGAAGTAGCGGAAGTTTGCGTGCACTGTCGGCGCGTGCGGGTTGCGGGGGTGTACGATCAGCGAGATGCCGGCGGCGTAGAACGGAAGAGGCTGGTCGGATACGGGAAGTGATGAATGCTCGGCGCGCATCTGCTTGACCGCCGCTGGGGGCAGCTTGCCATGGATGACAGAGATATTCACGCCCGCCTTCTCGAGCACAGTGTTGGGCGCGGCAGACGGCCCTGCTTCGGACGAGGCGAAGTGCTCAGGCGCTGGAGGGACAGAGAAAGCACAGGAAATTCCGTAGCCACCCTCCGGGCGTTCCCACTCGTCACGCTTAAATTTGGGCGCATTCGGATCCAGAGCCTCCAGCGCGTTCACGATCGAGTCCTGCAGCGACGCGACATATGCCGCCATGCGGGCGCGCATCGGCACCGGTCTGGTAGGGCTTGTAGGCGAGGTCATGGCGGGAAGAGGACGATCTGTCGTTTCGGCACTCGCAAATGGACAGCCAACGGTATTTATGTGCCGGCAAGAGGGCAACTAGTGAGCCGATGTGAACGAGGAGCGAGACCGTGAGCGTCGCGCACAGGCCCACCCAGCCATTCATCCAGACCGCCCGCGCCTCTCCTCCCGCGCCATCCCCTTCCGTTCTGCGCCGCGAGCTGCCTGCTCTCACAATTGTTGGCCTACCATTAGGGGACCGGATCTAGTGCTTCTGCTGCACCTGCCATGTGCCAGAAGCTGAAAGTCGTAAAAGTCGCAAGTATCATCCTGTATCATGACCCTGTGTATCGAGGGCCGCCACCTTCGTGGCCGTCTGCTCCCACCAAGACGCGTTGTCTTCCCATAACCTCGAACATGATATCGCGACATACAACGACGTATAGTACAAGGCTACGGGCGTGCTTGATCGAAGACACGCTGTGTAAACAGTATCCATCGGTATTATGTATCGTGATGCACACTAGCCTTCCAGTGTCCTGGCCAATATCGGAAGGGGCAAATGGTAGGGACTTTCGAGGTTCGTAGCGCGCTCTACATCAAGGTGGCCGCTCTGGGTTGGTGGTCCCGTTGTGCTTTGGCGGAGCAAATCCAGCTCTGTAGGCTGCCCGGTGCAGCTGCTATGGCGATGATAGATCGAAGAGTGGTGGTTCTTGTGTACTTGGGCCAGGCGGGAGGGCGAGCATCGAGACCTCCTTTTCGTAGAACTCTGACAGGGCGGCTGGATCCGAACAAAAGGCATGCAGTTGCTTGCGAAGGTCCTCAGCCATAGCTGCCAATCGAGAGCCCTTTGTCCCGGTGCCTCCTACGGCCGATGACGCGCCTCCCAACCCTTCTCGGACACGTCCTGAGCCTACAAGGCGATTGATGAGGAAGACGAAGCCCTTCTCCCCTCCGATGATCTGCACGAATGCAACTCCGCTTCTGTGTACAAATTGCGGGTGGGTGAAGGGCGCGCGTCGGTAGGAGTACACAGGCTCAATCTCCACCGCAGACGGATGGAAGCCGGGCGGCTCGACGTCGACCACGAAGTTGAACCGCTTGAGAAGAGCGTATTCGAAGTAGAAGTTCGGTGATGTGCCTTCCGGTATCCGCTGCACTAAGTGAGGGATGGTGGGTGGCGGCATGACGAGGGGAATGGGGAAACACGACTGGAACGGGTTGCTGTCCGCGATGTCTGCGATCTGGTTGACATAAGCCTCGACTAACGTCAGTCCGTATCTTTCGATGGAACGCGTCCACGTCTTCAAAAGGTCCTCGATGCAACGCGCCGTCGTCCCGACCCATTGCAACTCAAAGTGAAAGACAGTGGAGGGGTTATGGATTATGTCATGATGGAGAATGGCGGACTCGTTCTGATCACTCTTCTGCAGCAGTGTGAGCGGCTTCTGTCTGCGCTGATGAAGTCATTGCCTACCTTATTTGGATCGATGTCTATCACCATACTCTGACTGAGTATCAATCGCTTTGGCCTTCGTGTGGTGCGGGAGGCATTCGTAGCGACGTCGTGGAGGTCATCGTTGTGAGGAGTTGAACTCGAAGCTCGCGACAAGAACCAGCCAACGCGAGGTGTCGATACGACGGCAAACTCGCCCTTGAACTGATAGAAGTAGTGCCTGTATACATTGCATAAGTCACTCCTCACTGTTGCATATGCAAGCAACTTACCCGTCGAGAAAGCCGTGGCGGCCAGTACAGTGCTCGAAAAGCCCTCGTTCCATCAATCTCATGCCCCATTCTGTGCCCTGGTCGCGCGTTGATACGTCTCGGAACTCCCGTACGAGCCACGTAACAAATTCATGTCCGATGAAAGATTCTGGGTACTTTGCTCTATGCCAGCGATGCTCCTTGACAGGAACCCCGTTTTCCTCCCGCATAGCTCGAGCCACCGCGGGCAGGCTGGAGCTAAGCTCGCCAAAGTCCCGCTCACTCTTCATCTTCTTCCGCAAAGGGCCAGCAGCATGAATATCGTCCAACTGCTCTAGCAGGCGCTCATCAGAGAGCATGGCGCTCGGACTCAGATAGGTAGGTAGGAAACGAACAGGTGGGGGAGGACCCAGTGCGCGCTCTTCCGCAGGCTGCCAGCGGACGCGTGAGAAGAGTTCGCCCAATTTTTCGATACCAAGTATGCGACTCTCTTCCTCATTGAGCTTGTCGTTGGCTATAGTCTGATGTGTGGACTCTGCGGTGGGGATGACGATGAAACGTGTACGCCAGTAGCGCAAGGACTCGTTGAATTGCTGCTCGTACCCTGCCACCAGCATATCTAACCTGAGATAGCCGTCAGTATCATGCACTCCGCACTAACTTAGAAAGCGAACCTGTTCCATCCATAGTTCTCCAAGCCATGAGATGCGAAAGGTGTGCTGAGCTCCGTATAGCCGACACCCAGTTTGGGCCAGAGAAGACACTTGTAATCGAACGGCGGCATGGTCGGCACGCGTCTCACATATCGTCGTACTTGCACCGTCTCTCCGGTGTAAGAGATCCGGTGAATCTCATTGCTCATACTCAGGTAGACAGGATCAATAACCTGCAGAGCTTCTGCTGCGCCCCGCAGTTTGGGCGTCAGATCGTCGTCCGCGACGAATATTGACCCGCGCAAGAGTTTAGGGTTCTCTCGCTCCCCGTCCGCCTTCATCTCCGATGATCTCAGCACGAATTGAAAGCCCTGTGCAAGACGGATGGCGACCATACCCCTCATCACAACAAGAGCCCAGGCTCGGCGAACATCGTCCGGGTTCGAGGTGTTGATCGTGGGTGGTCGCACGAGAAAGGAGTGAGTCTCCGGCGGATCTGCTACCAAATCGTATGAAAAGACGTCGTAGGACGTCTCAAGCTCGGAGGCCGAGGGGAAATGTTCCGTCGTGAGTGGCAAGCAATACGGGGTGACGAGGGAGCGCCAGTTAGTTTCGTACATGTAGACGGGACGAGGAAACATGTGCTGCCAACGACGAGCGAGCGATGCCTGGTTGTAGGATATAGTGACTTGCGGGCTGGAAGGATTTGGACGAATGGAGGGGGATGATGAGAGACTATAAGGGCCAGCCGCGTAGGTGCCACTGCCGCCCGTGGCGCTTCGGCGTTTCTCGATCAAATCGTCGCGTGGTGAAGAGCTGACAGGGGAGATGGTGTGCTTTGTTATAGAGCCACGATGGGTCACGACTGTCTCCTCAAAGACCCGTTGTCGCTGTTGAGGAGCCTTCCGAATGGGAACGGGTTGTGGAGATCGCGAACGTTCTATTGTCGATGGAGTTCGTGCGGGAGAATGGGGCGCAAGCTCATGCATCGCATTCCGTAGAGGCGATGAAGGTGATGGCGTCGACTCGCCTGCAGCGGATATGTTTGTCGTTTCCGGCTGACTGGGTGCGCTTCTAAAGGGGTTGAACAGCCACGAGGGCGTGAACTTGGTCGATAGAAGGGCGGCAGCGGAGGTCGAAGCCCCTTGCCGTCTACGTTCCATACTCTTCTTGGATGCGGATGATCGCGCAGAGACGATTGATGCGCCTGACGGGGAGGTGCTCAGGCCAGAAGTAGATTCGTTGGTATGAGGCCCTTGGGTAACGGGAAGACGGTCATGACTCTGGACAGGCTCTGCATCTATGTCTTGTCCAGTGATCAAAGGACTTTCTGCTATGGGTGTGATCTTAGACGTGGACGTCGAAGTGGAAAGGCGATGGCCAATTTGCGAGCCACGCTTATCTCGAAGTGAAGACGCAAGGGACCCTGTTCCGCTGGAGACAGTACTCGAGGCACGACTCGCAATGCTCAACTTGGCTTCTCGTGCGTCGGTGTTGAAGGCGAAGACGTCGTTGTCGAATTTGTCCGCTTCGTCCTTCGCAGAAGACAAAGCCATGGACTCGTCTCTCTCCATCATAGGACTCAGGAGGGAAGAGTACGTTTCAGGCAGGAAGGGAACCTCGATGCTGGAGAGCACATCGTAATCAAGCAGACCGAGCATTTGTATCATGTGCATCTTCGCCCGTGCAACAAAACTGTGGAAGTTTCAGACACAGCTAAGGCTGACTGATCTTGAACACGAACCGGTCTTCTCGCATCGGCATGTCCATCTGCTGATCCCAAAAGTTCATACAAATCCAAAAGGGTTCGTACCAGAACTCTGACTTCGTGTGGTTCTGACTTTCGCCAGGTGTGTCATCTCCTCCCCAGAGTGGATCAAGCGCCCGAGCACCATAGCGGCCGATCTTATCTCCGCCAAGAAGTTCCGGCTCGACACCTCGGAACGAGAATATGGGAGTTCGGTGCAGAGGCGGCTTCGCAAGGCTCACTAGCTCCAGAGTTAGACCTTGGTCCAGCATGCGAGTCGTAGTGAGTCGAACGAGCTGCTTCGATACACGATACCATCCAGTGCCAGGGGTGATCAAGATCATGGAGACGCCCGTGAGAGACAGGCTTCGGTCTATGTAATGCTTCTCCGTGGGGTTCAAAGCCATATTCAGAGCCTCAAGGATTGGGCCGTCGTGAGCGTGCGCTAATTGTCCGACAAGACGTGCCTCCTCCGGAAGAATGGAGGTCGTAGACGTCGTTTGCCAAGAGCGGTGATAGTGGTGAGTCAATAAGATGTCCCTTTGAAACGCCCAAAACGAGTCCTTCAACGACACCAGTGTTGGCTGCCAATCGTATACAACCTCGAGGTCCGTGATAACCTTGAAAAAGTCCTTGTACCATCGGCCATCCTCTAACTTTCGGAGCGGACCCTCGGCGAAGTCGACCTCTGACCTGTCGTAGAACACGCGCGATATGAGAACGATGGTGACTGTATGGTTTGTGCCGGCCTGTGATCCAGTCAGATATGATATGTGCATGCTCACCTTCGGGAAGCTAACCTGTTTCCACCTCGAGAAGAGTTCTGGGAGGAATGAGTGAACAATCTTCTCATTATAGCGCTCCCCGTCGTTCGAGAACTCCCAGAGCTCGCGGCATACTTGTATGAAGAGCGTCACTTTCGCCGATAGCGTTCTGAAGACGCTCTTCGTCGCAGTTGTAACCAGTCCGCTGGGTACCTGCGCGACAGTAAACACCCGCTCTGCAGCGAAACAATGACTGCACTAACATTTCCGCCTCGAATGTATATGGCATCGACGCGAGCGACAATAGCACCAATGAAGGATACCTCCTGACCGACATGCAGGCACTGCCCCGCGAGCTGTTCTCCAAGCCGCCACATCTCGTTCCTGCCCAGATATTGATCTTGGAATACAAACTCTATGTAATCGGCCTCATGCTTTTCCTTGTCAACCTGATAGACGTGTCACGCAGAGACTTACAGAGATGTAGAGTTCGGTACCTTCGTCACCGTTACTTCGGTATTGTTGCGGATTGAGAACGCTTCTGCAGCAGAACGCGCCAAGGACACCTGTCTCGAAGCGTGGGAATGAGAGTTGGGGTGGCAGTCGATTGACGAACCTGCAATTGAGGTTTATTTCCCGTCTCCTCTTTAGGGACGACAAACAGAAATCCAGGTTGTTCATCGGTCTCGCCTTGACTCAGTTGCAGGAGATCGCCTTCGGAAACACCAGGCCAGGCACCGTGATTCAACAGGACATGTGGCGAGTCTTTGGGATCATGTACCCAGGCCGTCATCACCGTGGATTCTCCATGTTTAAGCGGTGTAGACGCAAGCTTAAAAACGGATTGTACAGTATTCGACCGTCGTCGACTGTACTGAGATTCGCGGGAGATAGACATGATGACCGCGGATCGGAAGAGGCTTTCGGCCTTGGCTCGGCCAGTGTGTTGCTCGCGTGGCAACCGCGTGGCCGACATCATCTTCGCATGCCGCGGTTTCAGAGCTTGCCAAATACTATATAGTATAATGGCACCAACGGTGCCGCACAGACACTTTGCCACATATAACGTTCAACTACATCTTCAAAACATTGATTGGTAGCTGGATCTCTGTACCTGCCTGCTTCATACACTGGGAAGTCTACATTGGCCCTACCTTTGCACAGACTAAGTAGCCATGTACTAATCACGGCTACGCTCGAACCTCGTGAATCGCATGTTCGAACAGTTCAACGGCTGTCTGAGCATTCTCCTCGGGACTTCCTCTGCTCCAGACACTTTCCGCCAAGTCATGCATCTTGTCTACAAAGTCTTCCAGCGGGACGCTGGCGTCGCTCATCAGGATCCCGTTATTGCGGGCGGCGAGGAAGAACTCCGTCGCGACGGGCTTGCGCACGTCAGTATGCGCGCGGAGGGCTTGTCGTATCGTATGACGCGTAGCACGGTGGTGTGCGATGAGTGTCGAGAGTACTTGGGCATCCTGAGAACCCCGTCAGCGCATGATCAAGTAGACCCAAGCCGCGATCCTATACCTCGATAGCCTGTCCGGCGCCGGCTCCCTGGTCGGGAGTCATTGCGTGGGCCTAGAGAAAGACACGCTCAGTACTCATGCACCTGAGAATGAAGAGACCGGCTTACAGCGTCCCCGAACAAGACGGCGCGTCCAGCAGTCCAATCATCAAGGGGTGGCACAACATTGATAACCCACTTGCGCATCTTGATACCTCCAAGCGCCTGTAGAGAATGAAGCCTTTCAACAAATATGATGCGAAGAAAGTACCGACGGCCATAATCGCCCGGGGCTCCGGAGCAGCGGTTTCAAGGTAGTGTTTAAGCTCGTCTAGACTGGTTTGCTCTACCCATGGTTGCGGGTGTAGCGTGCCTTCAAGGGTCATGTCGCGAGACAGGACTACCACGTTGAGCAATTGCGCCTGAGCGATGGGGTATGTAAGGAAGTACTTGATAGGAGTCAGCATCAACGAATGCACCGTCACGCAGAACACACCATCCCGTCAGAAGGGAACTGCAAGCGCGATGCGGTTAACTCCAGCCGTAGATGGATAGCAAACGGAAGCTCACGAGTTTGCCTATACGCCAGCACGAGTGCCCGTCTGGTATGTGCTTGACCAACTTCTCCTTCGGAATCACCCCGCGGTAAGCGATGGCGCCGCTGAAGCGTGGAGGAATGCGTCCGCGTAGTTCCTCAGCTTTCTCTGCCGTCTCGGCGCGGCCCGCGAGCTCCTCGTACATCGTCGCACGTACGGCGCTCTTGATGCCGTCTGCACCGACGAGAACATCGCAGGTAGCCTGTGTCCCGTCCGTAAAGGCGAGAGTGACGGGTTTGTTGGCGTCCTCAGGGTCTGAGTATCTGACGAGTCGCATGGCGACGTGCATCCCGACATCCTTTGGAATGTGTCTGAAGAGGACGTTGTGGAACTGAGCACGATGAAGCATTACGGTGCCTGCTCAACACGTCAGGATGCGGCATATGTGTAGAAGGAGAGAGTGCATGCCCGCGATGAAGTCTTTGCTGATCAGTTCCGTGACAGGCTTGTCAGCGAGGAAGGACGATACCGCAGGACCTGCGACAGATATTGTGAGCAGCCCGGTCCTTGACGCGTTGGGTATCTCATGCACCGTCTTGATCAGCTTGTTTACCGCTGATCGCGAGGAGGTCCTCCAGAAGGCCAAGCTCGCGCATGAAACGCAGCGTACGCGGTCTCACGGACACGCCGGCGCCTATCTCAGCGAATTCCGGCGCGGCCTCATAGACGTTGACCTCGACGTCCTGAACTCGTGAAAGCGCAATGGCGAGGGTAAGCCCGCCAATGCCACCACCGCTGGAGATGTTGAGTAGACAGTATCGTGCAAGACAGCGCATGGCTTACACGATGGCCACGCGAAGTCTCGGAGTAGGAGGAACGGACGACATTGTGCAATAGACTGCTGGTACAGGCAAATTGAATTCACAGCGATATTCGAAAGCCAATTTATAGCAAGACTGCAAGGTATGTCATGAGCTGATTTGGATCGTACTACACGCACGTCCGAGTCGTGCTTGGCCAAAACCTTCCCATGACTGCGAATGCTTACGCTCAGAACCGATCTTTGAAGCAAGACTTTACGCTCACGTTCTACAAATGCGCGTGGAATGAACGATAGCCGTAGCCCGCCCCGTCTTCAGGTGGGATTACAGAGCATTCTCTAGAGGTGACCGGATGCGCGGCATCGAAGACATCTCGTGGACGATGCACGGGTCTAAACACATTAGGATACACCGTGACCGCGTACAGAGGCACCGGCAGAGACCATGCCATGAGGCGGAACGCCTCCCGCTCAACGATCCACTTCCCTCTTGCGCATCCACGATCGTCGTTACCTGTGGGCCGTAATGGTCAAGAACGATACTTTCACGGTCGTTTCGTCCGCCAAGAAGCCACGGAGTTTCCTGCACGACATACTCCGGATGAATAGAGCAGAGTATATTGGTATACACTTCGGTCAAAGTGTATGAGTCTGCGGAAGAACGTCCCGGGTGTCGACAACCGGAGCTCTCGGCGGGACCGGCGGATGGTGAGGGACAGAGGGACGGAAGAAGCCGAATAGGAACTGCAAGAGCCAAAGTCCCACGAACGTGAACCCATCACGGCATCCGCCGACGCGCTCGGCGACGGATGCACGTGCCCAAGCGGTGGATCGAGCAGAACATACTCCCCGTCGCCGTAGTCGCCGCCGCCGCCGTCAAGACACACCATGGCTGAGCAAGTGCGTGACCGAAACTATGCTCGTGCGCCGTATGACTGACTGTCTGTGCAGATCGAGAAGGCATACCAGAAGCAGCCCATCTTCCAAAACGCCAAGGCGCGTGGTGCGTAACTTTTTATGCTGGACAGGTCGGTAGGGCGATGTTGAAGGGTGGAAATGAACAGGCGGCAAGAAGCTCACCAAGGAGAAGCGGTGGTACAAGGATGTCGGTCTCGGCTACAAGACGCCCAATGAGGCCATCACTGGCACCTACATCGGTCCGTGGCCCAGTTCATTGTCTGGAGCGAATATTTATATCAGAATACAGACAAGAAGTGCCCGTTCACGAGTGACGTCTCGATCCGTGGCCGCATCCTCACCGGCCGTGTCGTCTCCACCAAGATGACCCGCACCCTCATCATCCGCCGCGACTACCTCCACTACATCCCCAAGTACAGTGCGTGCCCCCGCCACTTCCCATCCAGTCAATCATACTCACGATCCATTTCAGACCGTTACGAGAAGCGCCACAAGAACCTTGCCGCACACGTCTCGCCCGCATTCCGTGTCGATGTCGGCGACATCGTCACCGTTGGCCAGTGCCGACCGCTGTCAAAAACGGTCCGCTTCAACGTGATCCGTGTGCAGAAGAACAAGGCGGCGGCCAAGGCCTTCGCCAAGTTCTGATTGTTGTATCGTATCATTGTCTCCCGGGGAGTGGTCGTCTGCTGTCTTCACCATGTCGCGCTATGTTCTATGCACCAAAATATTGACCACGGCACATGCATGCGCTTGTACTATTGAGCGTTCCTTTGCTTTCTTATTGGTGGGAACACCGCTAGGTCTGACGTTGAAAGTACTCGCGTGCGCTAGCTTGAACCCCGTATCTTGTGGGAATGCTTGGATCACCCGCTCATATGTAGCGGCGGGACAGACAACCAGCACAGTCGCGTTGTAAACGTTGGATGCAATGTGAGACGGCAGAGACGAGACGCGAGAGGGAGCGGGCCGTAGGGGCGTATGGACACAAGTCAAACCTCCGAGGATTGTATATAAAACAGATTGCCGGCGCACATAACAACGACAAATGACGAAGAGACGGACGAAGGGGAAATACGTGCGGGAGAGGGCGAAGGGCATGATGCGTGTGCGAAGGACGTGTGAGCAACATGATAACCAGATTGGAAACGGATGGGGCAACGGGGTCCGACGACAAGCCGTAAACAGGCGGTATGGGATGGAGGGGCAGAGGTCCGCACTGGGTTTGTTGGTTGGCGCGCTGCCTGCAATGCAGTCGTATCGCGCACACTGCACTGATACTATAATCGTATAACGCCGCCTGAGAGTCCGAGTGATATGGCATATGCTTTCGAGGCGAGCGAGCGCCTATGTGACGTGCGCCATGCTACGATTCGAACCGGTGAGGGCGTGAGATACGTGCATCTCAAAGCTGGATCGAAGCTGTGGCTCACCTCTTCCTCTTCGCCTTTGTCATCTCTTTTCGCAACGCCGGTCCATCGAGCGGTTTGAGCAGCTCAAACGCGCAGAGCAAGTCTTCTGACACGCTAGAAGGGTATATTATTGAGTAAAGGCGGAGCAACATCAACTAAAGAAAAGGAAGTTCTGACCTCATGCACGCGCCGTAGTTATCGAACTCTGGACACGGGGTCAGTCTACGGCTCAAGACGCCAACGACAGGATCGGGACGCACCTCCGCAATAGTTCGGCGCAGAGAAGACGGTGACGAGTGTCCTGTCGTTCCAGAACTCGTAACCGTCTTCGACGACCATGTGCGCTCGGCAGATGAGGTCCATGTCGTACCGGACAAGGAATTCGTTGATGACGGCCTTGCCGAAGCAGTACGACACCCCTCGCTCGTTGTCTTCCCAGTCGATTGCGGTGTCGGACGGGTCTGACCACAAGAGGTCATTCAACAGACCGTAGTCTGGCACATCCGTCGGACGTTGTAGCGCTTTGATGTCCTCCATCGTTTGGAGCGAGGGTGAGAGACCACCATGCACACAGAAGATCTTCGAAGCCACGATGGCGGCAATAGGGAGACAGTTGAATACGTCGATGAAGGACTTCCAAGTCTTGATGTTGCACCGCCGCTTGCACTCGTCGTAAAAGCCGTACACTGTAATGTCGCAGAGTTGGTCAGCCGAGCTCTAAGCGTTACGTTCTGAAGAGTGATGGACGAACCGCGCGTGACGTTGGCGCACTCGTGGTTGCCCCGAAGCAGAAAGAAGTTCTCGGGGTACTTGATCTTGTAGCACAATAAGAGGAGGATGGTTTCCAAGCTCTGCTTGCCGCGGTCGACGTAGTCTCCTAAGAAGAGGTAGTTCGCCGACGGCGGGAAACCACACATCTCGAACAGACGGATCAGGTCCGAGTACTGTCCGTGTACGTCGCCGACGATCTTGACTGGCGGGGAGAGCTCGATGAGAGTGGGTTGAGAGAGGAAGACCTCGCGGGCCGCTGCACAAATCTGTGCGATTTCGACGTTCTTCAAGCAGAGGCTCTTTGAGACCTTGCCGGTGTAGCCGACGTCGAGTAGACGTTGGATCATGTCGTCGACGTCGAACGTCCGAGAGACGCCCTTGAGACTGTTGGAGCCGGGTGAGCCGAGGGAGTCAGTGATGGGACCGCCCTGGCTGCCGAGAGAGCCACCCGAGGTCAAGGAACCAGAAGTGGCGAGGATGGTGGTCGCGGCAGGGATGTCGAGAGGCGGAGGTTTGGGATGTGATGACGTCTGTACTGGCGGCGGCGAGCGCGGGGTCGGGTGTCCTGCGACTGTCTCTGTCCCAATGGCCGGCAGCGGTCCTCCGGGAGGTCGTCCATTGGCGGGATGTGGATGCTGGCCGTCGCCGTTCGCCGGGCCGTCAGCGGCCGGGTCGTGGCCGGTCGCGCTGCCGTTGACCGAGTCGGCGGCCTGGGCGGCGGTCGCTCTGGACAGGCTGCTCTGCGGGGTGTCTGTGTGATCGAGTTCGGTGCCATTGGCGGCGGCGTCGTCCGACTTGTCTTTGCCCTTCTTCCGGTGTTTGCCATCGCCGCTCGCGCTCGCTGCTGCCGCGGCTGGCGGTGCCGGGGACGACGAGCGCGACTTGTTGCGGCGGCCGAATACAGAGAGGAGAGTGGGCGCCAGCTTGGGCAAGAGCTCGGGCGAGGCGGGGTGGACGTTGGAGTAGAGCCGCGCGCGAACGAGTCGAGAACCCCGTGCTGTTGCCATCGCTTAGCACACCGCCTGCTATCCGTCCCTTATTCCCGCCCTTCCATCCTTGTTTCTTGCCCTCATCCCTCCACCCTCCCACACTCCTCGTCATACCCGCACACGACAGCCTCGTTAAGCGCTCAACAATAATGTGTGCATGTCCCGCACCCCCAACTATGATGCTGGTCACTGGTGGTCTGGACCGCGTGCGCGCGCTCCAATCCCTCAGAGTCTCTTGGCGGGATGCATCCTCGCCTACTAGCGACGTGCACTCGTCTCCCTGCCTCGGCATCCCGTCGAGCCATCGCAATGCCTATGCTTGTACACTTCACCCGGCAGTCGGTCTAGATGCTTCCGCCATTGACCACCCTTCCCTGCATGTGCTCGCGGTCGAACTCTCATTCTATTCGTACCAAGGGACGCGAAGGGTAAAGCGCATATGATCGGCCGGTAGTCGCGTTCGCACTTTCATGTAGCAACATCTCCGTCGTATCTTCGGCCCGCCACAACTGTAGTGACCACTCATGCTTTCCCCCAAGACCTACCGCATATCTACCCGTTCTAGTCCGTGATTTACAAGACTCGGGTAGAAAGAACCCAGCGATTCTCAAAAAGTACAACAGGAGCTATCGCCTTGCGTCATTGTGAGATACATGTATGCTTATGCTCTTTGACAAGGCCACCTATTGGAAGACCAAGCAGCGACAAAGTACTGACGTCGCGAGGGAGTGTCGCAATCCTCCTAATCTAAGCGCCCATAAGGACCAATAAGAGCAACGCGCTCCATGTGACCGTGTCGTTGACGCGTTGACCGAAACGCGACGCGCGATGTGGCGGACATGCTCCTTCGTGTCGCCTCTCATCTCGTCCGGAGTCGTCATCTATTATATATGGGACGGCAGACAACCCTAGGTACATTCTCCTACCACCTTATGTTGAGATACGCCCCGAGCATGGTATTCAGGAAAATACATCGATATGCCTCCGGGAAAGAAAGCGCCGCCACAGCAGTCGAATCTGTCGGATATGTGGGGCAAGAAGAGAGAGATTAAGTCAGAGGTCCATGGTGAAGAGGCGAAGGTGACTGCGAAGGAGAAGAAGGGGAAGGCGTCTACAGTGGCCGAGGAGGATGAACCTATGGCCGAGGATGCAGGTGCGCCATATCACGTTGTTGACAAGTGTCACACCTCACACGTATCTCCGACTCAGTGAAACCTACATTCAAAGTATCCACTTCAAAGTCTGCATATGGAGGGGCACATGCTACCGCAAAGCGCCCTGCGGTCGAGGAAGAGGACAAGGGTGCACCTGGTATGCCTGTGATTGCCCCCGATTCTCGCAACCACGCTGAATATACATTAGAACCTTCTTCCCGCTCACATTCACCACTTCCTGGCGAAGGAGGCAAAGTCGGTCCCCCCAAGAAGCGCAAGAAGCAAGCCGCCAAATCTGTTGCGCCCGTCGATCCCACTTCATCACCTGTGACGGAAGCAACAACCTTGGACTCGGATTCCGACGCGGACATTGCGCCAAAGCGACTGACCAAACGCAAGAGAATAGCCGTAGCAGAAGAGGAAGATGAAGATGACGCTGTAACTGCCCCGGCGTCTTCCAGCCCTCCACCAACCGCTGCAGAAGAAGAGGATGAGGAGATGGCTGACGGGGATGAGGGAGAGTCCGAGATTGAGCAGGTAGAGAATAAGAAGGGAGCGACGAAGAGGTATGGCCTCTCATGCTTATGTTGGTTGCGGTATGTTGACAGCCTGTAGTGCGGAGACCGCTCTGGACAGACGCAAGGAGGTTGATGTCAAAGGCGGTTGGAAAGTCGGCGTTCCGTAAGCCGTGTTTGCTGTATTCATATATCTCCTGCTGATAAACTGAAACTAGCGTTCCTTACGCTGCTTTAGCCAAAGCCTTCTCACTCATCGAGGCGACCACAAAACGTTTAGAAAAGACGTCTTTGCTTACAGCTCTCTTTCTGCTCGTCATCGAGCGTAGCGCCGAAGGAGATCACGACTCACTCCTGAAAGTCGTATATCTTTGTATCAACCGCGTAAGCCCTTATAGGAACTACTACAAGTGTTGTGTACTCAGTATCGCTACCCTAGCTATGTCCAGATTATGTCGGTATCGAGCTCGGCATAGGCGAAAGCCTACTGGTCAAAGCGATCTGTGAGTCAACCGGGCGCAAGCTGGCGGCAGTGAAGGATTCGTTGAAGAAAGAAGGTGACCTTGGGCTGGTCGCGGCTGTACGTGGTCTAAGTCATCCCTGCGGTGCGCCACTCATGAACTCTATCACATAGGCTTCCAAGGACATGCAGAAGACTCTGTTCAAACCCAAACCGTTGACCGTTCCCTTCGTGTTCACGCATTTGAAGGAGATCGCAACAACGGCTGGCAATGCTTCGCAAACTAAGAAGGTTTCGATCATAACCAAGCTCCTCGCCGCATGCCAAGGAGATGAGGCGAAATACATCGTACGCAGTCTCGAGGGAAAGCTTCGTATCGGCAATGCGGAGCGTACTGTCATCGTGGCCCTGGCACACGCTGCTGTTCTTGCTGAGCAGTCGAAATGTGAGCGCGGCTGCGTCTGTCGGCGATGAGACGCTGAGTGCGATCGCAGCTGGGAAGACTTGGTCGACGGACAAACTTGCTTCTCGGCTTGAAGAGGGCGCGAACATCGTGAAGTCAGTTTATAGGTAGGTCTATCCTTGTTGCTCTGCAGGGAAACCGTCTGAGCCACCTCAGTGAACTGCCTACGTACGACGAGGTTGTCCCGGCCTTGCTCAAGCACGGCGTACGCAACCTCAAGGACGTATGCAAGCTGACACCGGGTGTGCCCCTCAAGCCTATGCTGGCAAAGCCGACCAAGGCCATCGGGGAGGTGCTCGACCGCTTCGAGGGTCGTCGGTTCACATGCGAGTACAAATATGATGGCGAGCGCGCACAGGTGCATCTGCTTCCCAACGGGAGTGTCGCGGTCTTCAGTCGCAACTCGGAGGATATGAGCAAGAAGTACCCGGATCTTGTCGAACAATTACCAAACGTAAGCTTTATATCCCAATGCACAGGCGTATTGTGGACTGAACGTGTAAACAGTGTTTCAAGGAGTCGACCAAGTCGTTCGTGCTTGACGCCGAGGCGGTCGCTATCGACAAGACGACAAAGAAGTTATTGCCGTTCCAGGAGCTGAGTAAGCGCAAACGCAAGGATGTCAAGGTTGAGGACATTCAAGTCCGCGTATGTCTGTTCGGCTTCGACCTGTTGTATCTGAACGGCGAGGTAAGCTCGTAACTTGTGATTAATCTTGCGCTCTGGCGCTCATTCTCTATCGTTATAGCCTCTCCTGCACAAGACTCTCGCGGAGCGCCGTGAACTTCTGAGGGAGCACTTCAAAGAAGTCGATTGCGAGTTTGCGTTCGCGAAAAGTATGGACAACGAGGCGGTCGAGGAGATTCAAGTCTTCTTGAACGAGAGCGTCAAGGATGGCTGCGAGGGATTGATGGTCAAGATGATGGAGAGCGATGCTAGTCACTATACACCTAGCCAGCGTTCAGTCAACTGGCTCAAGGTGCGATATCGAGGGAAGTGCTTCAGTCTAGCATCTGACACATATGCAGATCAAGAAAGACTATCTCGCTGGCGTCGGAGACAGTCTCGACCTTGTCGTTGTTGGCGCATATATCGGCAAGGGCAAACGCACGAACGTCTATGGCGCTTTCTTGCTCGCATGTTATAACTCTGATGCGGAAGAGTATCAAACCATCTGCAAAATTGGTACAGGTTTCTCCGAAGAGGCTCTAGCATCGCACTACGAGACGCTTAAGCCTCTGGAGATGTCGAAGCCGCGCGGCGACATCAACGTCGGCGGCGCGAAGCCCGATGTCTGGTTCGAACCGAAGATCGTCTGGGAAGTGTTGGCTGCCGATCTCAGTCTTAGTCCCGTGTACACCGCAGCGATGGGGCTAGCTGGTGAACGTGGTATCTCGCTCCGTTTTCCTCGATTCATTCGAGTACGAGACGACAAGGATGCCGATGATGCGACAGGCTCCGAACAGGTAAGCTTGATTGATATTGAGGGCTATGCGTGACAGCTCACGTGCCATATAGGTTGCCGAAATGTATGAGCGACAAGCTTTGACCCAAGGAGGTGGCAAGAAGAAGCGCGGAGGTGGGGATGACGATGCAGACGACGGGTTCTGGTAGTTGGCTTCTGACTGGCGTCCTTGCACACCTTCTATATGTTATGAGATTGTTTCCCGAGAAGCATCTCACATGAACGTGGGGATGTGGTACCGCCCGACAGCGAGTGTATAGATGGATATAATATAGTGTATAGCAGACAAAGCAGGTGTAAAGCCGACGATCATTTACGGAGCTTCTCCACGGCAGCAGCGACCTCCTCCTTCGCCGGCTGCACGACGTCGGCGACGTGTGCCACTTGTTTCTTCTCCTGGCCGCCATTGTACCAGTAGTTAATGTAGCGCAGTCCCTGCACTGACTGAGCTGTTGCGTTCGTCGCATGGCAGGCGAATAACAGGTAGTTTCGTGGCTGAACACGCCATGCTATAGATGTAGGCGTTAGTCATCAAAAAACGGGATTTCCGTGCAACGACTCATACCGAAGCGCATAAAGACCATGCTGTATGCCTTATGAGTTAACGCACTCCTACGAACGAGTCGAACACGTACGAGTAAGCGGTGAGAGCGCTGGTCATAGGTCCAGAGATGACCTCCTCATCCTTCGAAAGATCCGCGAGCGCCGCCAGAGGCAAACCCCAGTTGGCAACCTAGGGAAAATATGAGTTTTCGGCCCAAACTGTGGGTCGGACGAGCGTACGGGGCCCCAGAAATGCGTGCCTGTGCGGACACTGTCAATGACGGGACATAATGGAGGTGCACAGTCTAAAATACGCACTGAAGAAGTACTCGCGCGCCGCCGGCGAGCGCAGCCATGCAGTGAAGGTAGAGGCCATTATCGCAAGACGGGTGTTCGGAGCTGAGAGACGCGCGCTCTGACTTGGTTTCCGTGAGTCCGACGCGTTTAACGGACCGCACGGGCCGATATTTTGCCACGCTCGACGCCTTGCACTTCAACCGCCTCGATACGCGACGCGATTTCCACACTCGCTTCCATGACGCTCCTGCATGACATATACAGCATCGCACACTGTCGGACGTCGGCGAGACCGTCGCTTTGAAACGTACCCAAGCGCTCTCGCACCGCGCTTCTCGAGCGCTAGAAGCTCTCATGATGATTACTCGAACGAGTGATTGGCGCCTCGCAAGTCAGGCGCCTAGGACGCAGCTCAGGGCTGCACACACCAGCTACACGCGTTGTTCGTCCTTGTCCGTCACAAGCGCATCGCGCGCCCTCGCACCTTCCCATCTGCTTGTCGTCCCCACTTTGTACTGCCCGTCATCCTCGGTTGATGAAGTTGGACATGAGGCAGGCGAGGGTACAGGTGAAGGCAGCGACCATGCTCTCACGATTTGAATATTGAACTCGATCCAAGGCGCGAACCGCCTGGCACGCTTTCTTGAATGCGTTTGTGACGACGGCCTTATTTCGTTGCTGGCATATTCTTCTATTCTTCGGTGCATGGTCGACAGCGATCAGCCTTATCTCCAACTATCTCGTCGATCTGGGAATCCAGAACACGCTTCTCACAGTGTGCGCAGTTTCATGCGGAAGCATTGACGCTGCACTGACTTGGCTGATACAGGCTCGGCACTGTACTTGGTTTTGTTATCAGCTATCGAACGACGTCAAGCTTTGAGCGCTACAATGAAGGCAGACGATACTGGAGTCAAATTGTGCTTGGAGCCCGTACTCTCGCCCGCCTAATATGGTTCCATGTTCCCTGTGAGTCTTTTCACTTCACTGGACTTCCATCTTCGTTAGACTGATTCTCTTCGATACTCGTGCAGCTACTATGCCAATGCCTGGCGCGAAGACAGAAGAGGTAGAAGCGCGGATCCTCATCGAGAAAAAGACGGCCATCAACCTGACCGAGGCATTTGCTGTTGCCGTCAAGCACTACCTGCGCGGAGAGGAAGGCTACGACTACGCAGACCTCTTTCATCTGGTCAAGTACTTGCCTTCTTACCCTTTACCGACCGGGATACCGTCTCAGGCCGATCTTCACGCCCCGCCAGGGTCGCCAACATCGAATAGGAATGCGCTGCATAAGCGTAAGGGTCAGCATATGGATTCCGGTTCATCGGCGAATGACGATGGCCACCAACACGTTGCTACCGCTCGACGTGGATCCATCCTCGACGAGACCCTACCAGTGGACGAACCCGTACGAGACGCATTACACCCCTCATTGCCAGCGACATTACCTGGAGTAGGCAAATCATCAGAGTCGATTGAGAAAACAAGTCCGCGCACTCATGGAAGCGACACGGCTGCCATTGAGAAAACGTCTTCCCATCTGGGACCACCTCCCTCTCCTGTGGGAGCTCGGCTACGCAAGAGCATAGAAGACTTCAAGTCTCTCAAACCCGCTCGTCTGTCGCCGGGAATAGGCTGGTCGGACTTCTTCCCGTCATTCTTTACGAGACGCTATGATGTCAGGGTTGGAGGAGCCCACGGGAGGAAAAGCGCGAAGAGACATGCCAGGATGTTCCTCACGCATAATCTGCCGCTGGAGATCACATTGTACTTAAGCAGTTATGTGGCGGAACTGCAAAAGCGTCCGGGAGCCGTTGATGGACCCACCATCTGTACGTTTTGCCGCCGTACCTTAACGAATCCCAGAGGCTTACCATGCACTCTAGCGGCACTTATGGCGAGCATCCAGCTACTTACGGACGCGTTAACCGGTCTCGAGCGCATTCAGACCACTCCTATCCCCTTCAGCTACTCGTTCCATATCTGGATAGTGACCCTCGTCTATTGCTTCTTCCTTCCTTTCCAGCTATGGACGACGTTGCGGTGGGTCGCGATACCTGGGACAACGATTGCAGCGTTCGTGTACTTCGGGTTTTTGGTCGCTGGTGAAGAGATTGAGGTGGGCTCGTGGACGTTCTCGTCCAAAAGTATCGTGGCTGACAAAGGTCACGCAGAACCCCTTTGGATACGACAAGAACGACCTCGACATGGGTACGCAGGTCAACTGATGATGAGCGTACGCATCATAAGCTTACACAATACCTTCTAGATGATTTCACGCACAACATCATTCGCACCGAGCTTCATGCCATCACCTCTGCCCCCGCCCCGGATCCTCATAACTGGGTCTTTTCCGATCTCAACGATGCTTGCTTCGTTCCCAGCATCGGGTTTCAAGATGGTCATGAAGATGCGCCGCACCACATGCCGGATCGCGACACTCCCGAGCAATGGGTGACGCGGGGCAGAGGGGAGATGCTGCTCGCGCTGAAACGTGGAGCTATGTAGCCAGATTATGATACTACGCTTCCTCTAATGAAGCGAGTGTATGCTCGACATGTCTATCAAGGTTCCAGCGGCTTATTCTATACTATTATACATGTCAACTTCACAAAGGACTACTTGTCTCGCAGGACATTTTTCCGAAGGAATGTGCGTAAATATACATTATGTGCAATCATTTCGTCCAAATAGACTACAAAGGCAACCTCCCGTCACCGAGTCTCTCGTTCGTGCTCTAACATTTCGCGTCTCACTTCTTCCTTGACTTCCGCCACGCTGGCAAGCCCAGGTAAAGGTATCTTAATAGACCCTCGCTGCACTATTTGCCGTTTAATTTGGTCAACGATGAGCTCGTGCAGCTTCGGGACGTCAGCGAGTTTAGCACGGCTGCCAAGTAGAGATGTAGTCTTGAGATCCAGCGTGAAGGTGGGTGGAACAGTGATTGTAAGGGCTGGAGCGGGTGAATTAGGGATGGGTGGTGATATGATAACCTGCGGGCGTATCAGGAAGTGACACTCAGTATGAAGTTGACAATCCTCACAGAGCATGCGAATAACGAAAGCGAGATCGTGAGAGATACTGGTAGACGCGCAAAAGCAAACATAGGGTAGTTGAACAGGTAAGCAGTGGATATGGAGACAGACACCGTGTCGATATATGTGAGGTCGAATTCAGTCTGTGTGCGACTGTCAGACAAACTTTCGCCACAATTGAGTGCGTACATACACTATCCTTGGCATCGTGAACATGTTTGAAGCGTGCGTTCGATAGTCTTGGGGCAGATATACCCAAGTCTACAGCGTGTACTTGTACAGGATCCTAGATAGTAGGTCAATAAATGCACATGAAAGCGCGAGAGGGCACGTACCAGCATATCTTTGGGCCTGACCCTATTGATGAAGTCTTCTATGCGTTGCCGCATCAGAGAGTCTCCCTTCGCACCAGACATGTCATCTCGTAGCTTGGACCGGTATGCATGGGCTACCTGGGAGTATGTCCGTTAAGGCCGAAGAGACGAGTATGGAGACATGGGCGCGCACATGTAGCAATGCTGCGTTGAACCACTCTGTTGATTCAGGCTCTGCGTCCTGACTGGAGTAATCCGCTGGCGAGACTTTGGGCTTGTCCCGCTCTGAGCGAGGTCGATAGGAGGAAGAGCCGTCGAAAGGGTTTTGGGAAGTATCCAGGAAGAGGTATTTCAACACAAAGACCAGGAGAACCAGAATCGAAAGTTGGCCCAGCACTAAGCCCTGCGTGAATGTGGGATGAAAGGTGAACAAGTAGTTTTCGGCCATGGACGTCGCATGGAGAGACAATGCGGGACGTCGGTCGTTAACGGCGCGCATCACGTCGGCAAGCGCGCCCACAGGTCGTGCACGTGGACTGTTGGCTCTTGACTGCTTCCCGCCATGTCCGAGGCTGGCTCGTCGACGCCGTCACGCAAACGCTCGAAATGGGATGTGGACACCCAGGACGAGGAAGAGGAGGCGCCACAGCCGGTGCTCAAGCGGCGCGCCAAGGCCCCGCGGAACGTTCGGACTTCTGAGCTCACCGTCCCTCAAACGTCTGTCGCACCCAGAGCACGGCCATCGCACAGCCTGTTCGTGCCCCCTCGGACCCATCACCCGCCGATCATCCCGTCGCGATCGGTATACAACTACGAGCGTCTGAACTCGATCGAGGAAGGTTCCTACGGCGTCGTCTTCCGCGCAAAGGACAAGCAGACCGGCGACATCGTCGCCCTCAAGAAGCTCAAGCTCGACGAGGAGAAACAGGGCTTCCCCATCACAGCTCTTCGGGAGATCAACGCGCTCATGGCGGCCCGGCACGAGAATGTGGTCCGCATTCGCGAAGTCGTCGTGGGCGAGACTCTGACACAGTATGTCGCGCCATTTACTTGAACGCAAGAGATACACTGTCAGCGCCTTCTTCCGTCTCTTCTTGCTCCAAGGGTCTTCATCGTCATGGACTTCATCGAACATGATCTCAAGACGCTGCTCACGCTCATGCCACAACCGTTCCTTCAATCCGAAATCAAGACACTCATGCTCCAATTGCTGTCGGCAGTCGGACACTGCCATAACAACTGGATACTGCACCGCGACTTGAAGACCAGCAACTTGCTCATGAATAACCGAGGGACTATCAAAGTTGCGGATTTCGGCTTGGCTCGACGGTACGGCGATCCTGTGGGCGTGGGTGGTATGACCCAGCTAGTTGTGACACTTTGGTATAGGTATGCCGTTCAATACGTGTTGCGCGCCAGCATGCGCTGACATTTTCTTTCTCAGAGCTCCCGAAATCTTGCTAGGCGCAAAAACCTACTCTACAGCCGTCGACATGTGGTCCGTGGGCTGCATCTTCGCCGAGCTTCTCCTCAAAGAACCCCTCTTCCAGGCAAAGGGCGAGATTGAGCTCATCGACATGATCTGGAAGCTTCTTGGGCCGCCAAACAACAATAACTGGCCAGGCTGGATGGAGTTACCGCTGTCGAGAACGTTAGCGCCACGGGCACCACATGCGCATCATTTCAGGACAAGATTTCCATTCATGACGACAGCTGGACTGGATCTCCTGATGTCACTTCTCACTTACGACCCCGAGCAAAGGATCACAGCAGAGGAGGCGCTGAAGCACCCTTACTTCCAGTACGTTTCGTATTGCGATCGCTCAAGAATGGTGTTTCATTGACGACGCTTCAGAGAGTCTCCGCTCCCGAAGCACCCAGATCTCTTCAGTTCTTTCCCTTCTGCCGCTGCTGGCGAAAAGTGAGTTTCAGTGCTTCTCGGGCTCGAGTGTGGCTGACCAATCGATAGACGTCGCAAACCGTTCGAGAGCCCTCGCGCTCCGACACGTATCGCAGACAAGCTATTCGGCAACGAGATGGATCCCTGATATACAATATTGTACCAAGTCGTTCTGTCCTCGCTTTTCCTGCTGTCGCACGCGCAATGCTACCTGCTGTAATTCAATCATTTTGCTCCCCTGACAGTGATTTGCGACCCAACGCGGGTCCGACAATGCTATGCTACTGTAATCACAATGGAATGCTCTCCGCCGTCGAGGGAGATGGATGTGCGCTCCTCCACACTTCCCCGCAGCTCTCCGTCCACGATCGCTTCTCCAGAGACAGGCCAGATAAGGGTGCCAGTAGTCCCCGCGGGCGTGGTCGTATTCAATGAGAGCACTGAATCATCATTCTTCCAGCTAGCGCCGAACCAGCCGAGTGGCGTGGTGAACCCACCCTCAGCGGATGGAAGACCAGATAAGTGTGGAGCTAGAGACCATGTCGCGCCCTGTGGCGTCGTGACTGAAAGGCCAAGCACGTAGAAGGTTAAGGCAGAAGTCGGCGCTGAGGACCATCCATGTGCATGGGAGGTGTACGCGGCATCGTCGTTGTAGCCTTGGTAGTAGCGGTAGCTGTGCGCATAAGCATCAGCACTGTAAGATACTCTAAAGCGCGTTGATGAAATCACTCACTAGAGCGACCCGTTGCCGGTGTATCCCTCGAGGAGCGTGGACTCAACCGACAGGTTCGTGTAGAGCATGTACCCCCACTCGCGACGGAGCAGTTCCATTGCGCGCGCATCGTTACCTGACTCAAAGTGAGCTTGCAATTCTAGACCGCCGATAAAGGGGCTGCGTGAAGAGTTCGTCGGTCTTCGATAGATACAGGCGAAGAAAGTGACCGACCTGATGGTGTCGGGTAGTTCGGGCGCTACAGCTCCGTACTCATTCCAGTTCTTCTCGAGCCCGGCGCTCACGGAGTCGGCCTGTTCGGCCGATGCAGTGAGGTTGAACAAGATTGCCATGCTGTTCGCATCCTGGGGCGCGAGCGTGGTGCTCGTGTTGTCCCTATACATCCCGATGTCTTCTAACCAGAACGCGTCATTGAATGTTTGTTTGAAGATCGTGGCGTTCTGTGCCCATGCCTCCGCCTGATCGGTTTTGTTGAGCCACGTCGCGAGTGTGGCACTGTTGACGAGTACTTTGTAGTATAATGCATTTCCCTCTGCATTGTGTCCACCGCCACTAGTATGTCCGAGTCAGTATTGGGACGACGACGGGGAGAGAGAAAGTAGATGTACCCTTGCCGTGCCCAGTCTCGGAGACCGGTGATGTTAACGAGCCCGCTGGAATCGACTTTGGACTATACGGGAGGGTTAGACCATCGTGCGATCGGAGCTAAGGATGAGCACTTGCCTGCATGTAAGCCATGGCAAACGTGTAGTTCGACCATAGATTCTCCAAGAAGTTTATGTCCCCATCGTAAAGAAACGCGTTCATCACGCCGATCATTGACCACATATGATACGTGTCGCTGCCTAGCTGGCTGAGTGGCGGGCCAGACTCAGGTAAGGCACCAGTCGTAGGGTTTTGCGCGGCAAACATCGTGTTGAGGGCGTTCTTGGTAGGGAGCAGATCATTCGTTGATACGAATTGAGTAGGTACAGCGATGCCCATATCTCCGGGCCATACAGCCCTGCTCTTGATCAGTTTCTCGATGCGTATACGCCAAGCACATATCCCACCTGTCGCGTTTGGCACCATCGACAATGATAGGACCCTCGAGACCGAGCGTTGCATTGTTGGCCCAGCCTGTGCGTACGACTTATGGAGTTATGACACAAAGTGGTCAGTGAGACACATACCAGGTGGCTTCACGACGGGTATCTGCCGGCCTGTATCGAGTGGTACAGTGTTCGTCTGCACAGTGTATGCGCCAGCGTACCACAACTTTGTGAGGAAGTCCGCGTCGTGAGAGATAGGGTCAGAAGAGTAGAAATATCCGGCGTAATCGCGTAGATCGTCGACATGGGGCATGAAAGAGATAGCACAGGTCACGTTGGATATGGTCACAGCACTGTCAGAGGTAGAGACAAGCGTCAAGAAACGAAATCCGCCGCGAAGCCAGCGCGCATCCTGCGTCCATGTGCCGTTCGGGAGAGGCGCCGAGACAGGTTGCACACCATCATATGATAGGTTTGTAGCGGGATAAGTAGAGTCGTCTGAGAAGTCCGGCCGGATGAAGAGAGGCGACTCGGTGAACGAGAGGGATATCGCAGACGAATCCGTGGTATTAGCAAAGCTCAAGGTTATCAGACCGCCGACCTGTGCTTGAGTAAGCCAGGATGATAGCGACTACCGGAGCAAGCAACGCACCTCCTTCCCAAAGTCCAGAGCAGCATATGCCCCATTACTAGAAAGGATGATAGAGTTCGGCGACCCGTCCGACGCGTTCGTGAAGGACACGTCGCCGACAGCTTCGCGAATGGAGACCGGTGAGACGGTTTTCGAGTCGGGTGCGAAGTTGAACGAGTCCCATACTCCTGCAGGAGCAGAACCTGCCACGATTGCAGCGCTGAGTACTAGACAAAGGATCGTCTGGTGGAGTGATCCGGGCATTGTAAGCGCTCGAGACCAACAGCCCTTTCCGGCAACATGCCTTTTGTACGCAGCAGTGGGGCTGTAAAGAAGACGAAAGGACAGCCACGAGACTTCGTCGCTCTACGCCGCGGTCGTGGCATGACTAGCTATTGCGGAGGGAGACGGCCCGCGGCCTCTGTGGCAGAAGAGCAATCTATAGGCCACCTGAGCGCGGTTGAATACATCGTTGCAAGAGTTCTCCGTCACAAGGTGTGCATGACGCAAGCGTCTAAATGTAGCTTCATTTTCGGTGCCAAGTGAACGGAAACCCTGATGGTCGCGGTCAACGGCCCCCAAAGGCCAACAACATAACGTGCAGACATCTTCGCAAAAAGAGTAGAGGTGGTCGGAAGGAACAGGGCAGCTGGCAGACGTGCGCACGCGCGTGTCATTGAAAATGGTCGGCGGCCGAAACAGCGCTTGCCTCTCGCTACCACCCACTATTACTTACTATGCGGCACTCACTGGACGTGATGCACGGTGTCTTCGCTGCGAGTTGGCGACGCTCTATCGTGTTATAAGGGCCTGAAGCCCGTCTTCTCCGTGCATCGCATCGCGTACGTACTTGTCTTGACTCAAATGTCGGCCGCGTGCCCGAACTTTGCTCACGACCTGCTTTTCGAAGCATCTTGTATGAGCGCTTGCGCATACGGACTGTATAGTACGACAAATGCCTCTTGATTTATCAAAAGACGGGTCGCACGAAGTGTCAGGTGTTATTTGTCACGTCTCCAAGGTGGAGATCGGCTCGCCTGGAACTATCCTAACGTCTACGACGATCCCGGATCCTCTAGCGTTTACTGCGTTTTTGAATTGGTCTTTGCTTATGCGAAGCATTCATGAGCTACCACAGGATTCTCGTATCATCACAGCATCTCCACTATGGGGGCCTAATAACCTTTGTCACTTCCGGAAGCAACCCAGGCAACATGTGGGATCGCTTCCACTCAGGCCTGTTATGTGATCGGAATCCGGATACTCCGTCCAATTCATTCGCTCTCTTATAAAGATGCCAGCAGATATACTGGTCGAGGACATTCTTCAGCCTACTAACACCCTCATTCTGCCCCCCCCATGAGCTCTCCCACAGAATCGAAGCTTACGGTCGCCATATGGTGCGTGATGC